CAACGAAAATTTTCTTGCAAATGGCGAGCGCTCCCGGGCGCACGCGGAGAGCCATGCACTTTCACAACCGATGCTTTCATTTGATTGGCTATTATTGTGTGAAAATATAGCGCGAGTTTGGAGAAGAGCTTTGCGCGATTTCGGTAGGATGCAGAGCGATTTCGAGCACTATAACGACAGCATCGGACTCCCCGCTTCATTTCCTACTGGAATCCGCCGTAATCCCACCAACGAAAATTTTCTTGCAAATGGCGAGCGCTCCCGGGCGCACGCGGAGAGCCATGCACTTTCACACTATAACGAGAGCATCGGACTCCCCGCATCATTTTGGTTGGATGACTCACCATAGCGGCGACGCCTTTGCTCGTCGCTTCCAAAATGTCTCTACGCCAACAAGCTTTGATCGTGGCCGCACAGGAAAGTGGGGAGCAATGCTATCTGAGACCGCGCGAGTCACTCGTTTGCTGTCGCCCGTTGCGACTTGCCCCTTCGAAACCTCTCCTCTCATTATTTAGGGCGCCTCCGAGTAACTCAACGCATCGTGGGTTGGATACCTGTAACTCTTAGCACAAACAGACGACGGACGTTCTATGGTTGAAGCACAGCGGTTCCTATCTTTGCGTCGAGGATGCAAGCATCGACAGGCCACACCTTGATCGAGACAGAGTGACCGAGCGAGACAAGCAGCTATGGACCCTGCTTGCACGACTGCCATGCACCCAAGGGCACCACGACGCTAAGAAATGAATCGTCCGACCGAGGAACCCGAAAGAAAGCGATGCCTGGATATGTCCCCCGGCCGCGCACGGCCAACTGCAACCCCTTCTGATTCAGATTGGACACAATGGACACCTTTTTGACCAATCACGCTACACCACCTGATTACGCGCCAAAATCTAAAGCAGTCCCTTCTTCTTGAGCATGGGTTCGATCACAGGCGGGCGGCCACGGAACGCCCGGTACGCGTCCATTGGGTGCACCGAGTTGCCCGTCGAGTAGATGGTTTCGCGCACGCGCTTGGCGGTCGCGACATCAAAGATGTCGCCGGCCTCCAAGAACGCGTCAAATGCGTCCGAGTCTAGGACTTCGGCCCAGAGGTACACGTAGTAGGCGGCCGCATACGCATCGCCGCTAAACAAATGCGCAAACTGCGAAAACCGGTGGCGCATGACGATACCGCGCGGCATCTCGAGGTTGGCGAGCTCCGTCGCCTCAAAGGCGGCCAAGTCGAGGGAGTCGACGTCGTCGAGCTGGTGCAGCGTCTGGTCCATGAGCGCACACACAGCGCCCTCGGCCGTCGCAAAGCCTTTGCCAAAGGTCGCGGCTGCCATCATCTTGTCGAGGAGTTCGTCGGGAATCGGCTCGTCCGTCGCGTAGTGGCGCGCGTGCTTCTGTAGCACTTGGCGCTCCGAGACCCAATGTTCCATGAGCTTGGACGGGAGCTCGACAAAGTCCTGTGCAACGGCGGTGCCAGCGAGGCGGTTGTACGTGACGTCCGAGAGCATACCGTGGCAGCCGTGGCCAAACTCGTGGAAGAGCGTGACGCAGTTGCGGAAGCTCAGGAGCGTCGGCTCGCCCTTGACAAAGTTGTTGTTGTTGATGATGACGGGAATGACGTTGGTGCCGTCCTCGTCGACGTTGCGGCTCTGCGTACGGAACGCGCTCATCCACGCGCCACTGCGCTTGCCCTTGCGAGTAAAGTTGTCGTGCAGGAAGATCGCCACGAGCTTGTCTTCGTCATCGGCCGTCGTCTCGCGCACCTCGTAGACCTTGACGTCCGGGTGGTACGCCTTGATGTCTTCACGCAAGATAAAACGCAGGCCAAAGAGGTGGAACGCCACGTCAAAGACGGCTTCGACCATGCGGTCGAGGCTAAAGTACGGCTTGACCGTCGCTTCATCGACATCATACCGGAGCTGGCGGACCTTCTCCGAGTAGTAGCGCCAGTCCCACGCCTCGACGACACTGCTGTCGCCGATCGTGGCCGCGTACTCTTCGAGAGCTTCGCGCTCGCGGTTGGCCGCGACCTTGGCGAGGTCCCAGACGCGGTTGAGGAGTTCGCTGACTGCTTCCGGCGTCTTGGCCATCGTGTCGCTTGTCTGGTAGTCGGCAAACGTCTTGTAGCCGTGGGCTTTGGCCTGCTCGACGCGAAGCTTGAGGATCTGCGTCGCGATTTGGTTGTTGTCGCGCTCGGGTGAGAGCTCGCCGCGGGACGTAAAGGCGCGGAAGACCTTCTCGCGGGCGGCGCTGTTGGTGGCACTCGACAGGAATGGTTCGACCATCGACCGGGCGACCGTCACCACATAGACGTCATCGCCCAAATCACGGTCGGTCGCATTTTGCTTGGCAGACGCCATGATGTCGGGCGTGCAGCCGTCCATCTCGGCCTCCGAGAGCTCGATCGTATAGTCCGACTCGTCCGTCAAGAGATTCTGGTTGAACGTCGTCATGAGTGTCGCAAGAGCCTCGACCACCTCCGTGTAGCGCGCCTGCATTGTCGTGTCAAAGCGAGCGCCCGACCGGACAAAGTCCAAGTGAATGCGCTCGATGAGGCGGAGGTCTTCGCCACCAAACGCATCGCGGGCCTCATACACGGCGTCGATGCGCTTAAAGAGGCCGGGAAAGTTCGTGGTTTGAGAAAAGAAGGACGCGAGGGGCGCAGCGAGCTGGCGCTGGACGCCTTGGAGTTCGGGCGTCGAGCACGACGCCGAGAGGTTCTGGAAGACGGCGAGGACTCTGTAAAAGAGGCGGCCCGATCGATCGTACGCGACTACCGTGTTGGCAAACGATGGCGCATCCGGGTTCTCGACGATGGCCGTGAGCTCGTCGAGAAACGCGACTTGCGCGATCGCGAGCGCAGGTTCAAAGTGGCTCGCTTCAATGGCCTCAAAGGGCGGGAGCGAGAAGGGCTGCGACGACCAGTCGGCGAGGAGCGGGTTGGAGGCGACACCCATGGTGCAAAAGCAAGAATGAGGAGGCGCATCGTCCTGTCAAAGCGTAACCAGATGGCGCCACGTCGTAGGTTCAAGTTGGACGAAGGAGGAGCCCACCTCAGATGATACCGCGTGCCCATAGATGGTCGTGCTGTTGAGAACGCTACTACACGTCTGAAGTCGCAAATTGCGGTAAATACCTGCGGGTCGCTGGTCCAAAGAAGGGCCTCGCCGGGCACATTCATCGAGCCGAGGGAGCTGGCCAAGGACAGCATGATGGGTGCAAAATGATTCTCAGGCGCGGGGTAGCTTTCCCCTTGGCTCGTCGCAGCGCAGCTCTATGGCACCCCGTCGACTTCGCACCGCGACGTTGCTCTGCGCGCCTTCGACAGACAGTCAATCTGGTCATGCTGCGACAACAACGGGAACATCAACAATGACACGAAAGGAATAACTTAATGCGAGATGAACTAGACGATGCTATCGGAGGTGGGCGCGTCAATAGCATCGCTGTCGTCCTCGCGACGCTCTGGGTTCTTCGGGGCCGCAAAATCGGGCTGCATGATGACGTAATAGTAGGCGCCGAGAGCGACCCAAAGCTTCAGCGCCTCGAGCGCCTTCCAGCCAGTAAGCGCGACAAGAGCGTCGATGACGAAGCACGCACACGCCGGCGTCACTAGGCACGTAATGACGTAGCTGAGGAGGCCGTGGATCGCGTCGTTGGTCGTGATGACGAGGCGTAACACGGGCACAATCAAGCCAAAACACGCAACGTCCCGGCAGATCAAGAGCACGGGGACACTCGGGATCGCAATGTCCAGCAGCTGGTACAATTGCAGAGACCAGAGCACGGCCCAGCCAATTTGGCGCAGATATGTTCCGACGACCGCCACGACACAGGCGAGCGCTATGGCCCAGAGGGAAAATGACCCCGTGAGCGGCGCAGCGGTCGCCGAGGCGACGAGGCACCCAAAGAGAAAGGTGCGCTCAAGCTCGAGGCTGTATCGGCCGTCGTAGCTGTAGATGCCCGCGCTAAGGAGCGCAAAGGCGCCAAGCGGAACGCACACATCGAGATCGACGGGCGACATGGCGAGCATTGTCGTCGACGACGCTTGAAGCCATCCAATGTACTTGCCGATAAGCGAACGAAAGAACATGTACATCACGGGCGCGTACAGAGCCATGAGCGAGAGACGCATCGAGGTTGTAAAGGCAACTGCGCCCGCCAGCGCGAGGCCGACGGCCATGGCGGCGAACGGCGCGTCGTCCTGGACGAGGCCGGGAAGACACACGGGCAGCGCGCCGAGGATGACAATGTACATGGCGCAGAACACAAACGTGCGTTTGTAGCGATACGCGTAGCGCCCGAGCAGCACGGCGGCGGTAGCTGCGAGCGCGAGCGTCGCGAGGTAGCTCAGCAGCGGTTTCTCGGTCGGGTCCAATACCGCTGTGCGCGTGTCGTTGAGCCAGGTGTCGTAGGCTGTGAAGGTGCGGTTCATCGACCTCTCGGTGTGCGAGACGAACGCAAGGCCGTTGGCGTCGACGAGCCAGGACGCCATCATTCCGGTTGTGCAAAAGGCAAACTGGCCTCGCCGATTGTGAGTGGATTATCCGGATACGACAGATGTTGACGATTCGGCACTCGGTTGTGCTGCTTGGTTGTCGACTAATTTGTGACAACACTACAACGACTACGATTCAGTCGATTGGTCGACTATTATCCTAGCTACGGCGTTAATAAATAATTTGCCACTGCGTTCGATGCTAGGGTTGCGGGAACGGAGAGCTTACATGCTGCGATGAGAAGACGCAACAGGACTGCGCTCTGGGCCGTACATGTATTGCATGGCGCAATGTTGGGAGCGACAAGACGGGTCTCAGCGTCGAATGGAACGCACAGTATCGAGGAACAATCGTAGTCTATAGTATAACCCGTTTAAACTCAATTTCCCGCCGGCTCCTGCGAGGCTGGGGTAGCTTGCTTGGTTAAGCGCATGAAGACGATTCCGAAGAAAACTCCCGTGACAGAGTTGGGGATTTTGAATCCAGTTACCGCCGGGACAATGTGGTTGGCAAGGAAGACGCAGCAAGGGGTCGCTCCAGCGAACATAGCGACACCGTCAAGGCCCATGGTCAGTAGCTTGACCATGAGGCGTCGCCCCGGAACGGCGAGCACGTAGATGCCGCCGATATCGCGAAGCACTAGGACCACGGGCGTCGTTGGCATGGCGACGAATGCAAACTCAGCGCAGAGTATCATCGCCAGCAGAGCCCAGTCAAACCTCTGCAGCCACGTGAGGAGGCACGCCAGACCGAGCGCGTAGACGACCGAGAGCCACGCGCTGAGCACGGCTGCGAGAGAGACAAAGACAAACGCACTCTTGATCCGCTCCGCGAACCGACCGTTGTAGCAGTAGATGCCGGCGCTGCCGAGTGCAAAGGCGATGAGAAGAATTCTCATGTCGAGGCTTGTGGCGTCCGCAACGACGTCGAGAAGAGTCGTCGCGCTGGTGTGTAGACCGTCAAGGCAGTATGTGGAGAAGGCGCGGAAAACCGCTGCTGACGGAAGCAGCAGCACATGCGTCAAGTGGTTTTCCGAGCGCGCGAGGACCGCGACGAGACTGACAGCGGCGAGGACGGCAAGAGGTGCGAACGGGTCGCTCCCCGTGATAAAGCAGAGGACGCCGAGCACAATGATGTACGCAACACATGCGAGCACAGCGCGCCGAAAACGAAGTGCCATGTAGCCGACGACGATGGCCATGAGGCCAGCGACAAGCAGCGAGACCGAGTACACGAGAGGGTCCTTGTCGCGGTAGTCAAGGAGCTTGGCTTGCGCCGCGTCGAGGAGCATGGTGTAGGCGTGGCCGGTCAAGTTCATGGAGCGACCAACGTCGGAGAGTAGCGCGAGGCCGTTGGCATCCACCCACGACGTCTCCATCACGGTCAAGCGTAGGGGTAAATCGGGCAATGGCTGGGGTTGGCGATAGCACGCGCAACTCAAGGCGACCTTGTTTTGACGGTCAATTGTCAAGTCGCAACAACCCGCTGGCAACAACCAATCGGCTTTCGGCTTTCGGTCATATTCAGGTTTTCATATCCACGGGTTGCAGTCTAGACACCACGATGTATTGAAATTAGACCCATGATATACACCCTTCATACACGAATACACGCCAGCATGAAGAAGGCACGAGTGGTCATTTTTTCCGCGCGAATTACGATCACTTTCAAAGACAGCAGACACGCCATCCGGTTAATGTGTATATAAATAGAATGAAATCCAAACACTAGACAATCTCCATGTCGTCGTCGTCGTCATCGGATCGCGGCAGTGTAATCAAATCGTAGCGCGCGTCCAAAATCGCTGTGAGCATCGTCTGGAGCGGACTCGTGCTTGTGCCGGCGAGCGCCGCCTTCATGACGCTCGGCGAGTAGCCCGAGATGAGCGACACGTTGGCCTCCGAGCTCAGTGTCGGAAAGTCCGTCGTGCTGCCGTTCACGTTCCAGAAGATGACTTGCGGCACGTCGTAGCCTGCGGCGGCAAACTCGGCTTTGAGCACGTCGTAGTTGGTCTCGAATGCGTTGTCGGCCTCGTCAAACTGCATGTCGGAAATCACAATAAGCTTTTGCGGCATCTTCTCACGGGCAATCTGCTTGTCGAGACCGAGAGCGATGATGAGCCGGAGGGCTGCGACAAAGTTGGTCGAGCCGCCCCACGGCGCCGCCGCGAGGCACTGCACCTTGGCCAAGAGCGAGTCGCCTTGCACGTGGAAGAAGGTCGGCGTCGAGTCGAACGTCATGACGAGGTCTCTGTACTCATCGGCGGCCAGCGACGACACGAGGATGCCGAGCGCGAGCGACACCATCATGGGCAGCCCATTCATGGAGCCCGAGACGTCCGACATGACAACCGTGCGGCTGAGCGTGCCAAGGTCTTTGGCGTGATCGACCATAGCCGCCCACTGCGCCTCGAGGAGCGGGTCGAGATCGGTGGCCATGGCGTCATACGGGCCAAAGTACTGCGACACGACTTGGTGCGGGAAGAGCACGGACGCATTGACCTTGGTCTCGCCCGTCTTCAAGCCGGCCTTCCACGTCGCAAACGTTTCTGGCAAATGGCGCTGGAATGCGTGGTTGGGCTTGCCGTGGATGTGCATGGCAACACTCGGGACAGCACTCAAGTCGATCTTGTCCCACTCGTTGGCACACATGTGGCGCTCGAGGAGCTGCAGATGCGCCCGGAGCGGCGAGAGGTACGTCTTGCGGAGGTCCGCGCTCGAGAGCCCCATGACTTTGGCCAGCTTGGCGTGCACGCGCGTCTTCTTGTCAGCTGCCTTCTTTTCGGACGGCACCCACTTGGCGCATAGACTCACGGGTTGCTTCTCGTCCGCGTCCTTGATGTTTCCGAGGTCGTCGCGGAGCTGGTCGGCCCAGATACCAAGCGCCGTCGCCTCCAACGGCGTGCCCATGACGGCGAGAAGGTCATCGAACCGACCATACACACTGACATAGTGCTTGAGGTTGTGCGAGAGCACGTTCGGGTGGTTCTTGGCGAGCCAGTGCAGCGCCAAACGCGCGGCTTGGCGCTCGCCCTTGCCGCCGCGAACGTCGCGCAAGTAGGCGACGATCTTGAGCGTGTGCAGCGCATCTTCCTTGTAGGACGCGGCGAGAAGCGCCTGGATGCGCGCCTCTTCCGTGCCCCGGAGCACACCCGAGAACAAGTCGACGCGCGAACTCGAGGTTGATGCGTGCGAGAGCGCGCCGTTGGCCGTCGTCGTCATCGACGCGAGTTGCTTGGCGGCGTCGGCAAAGCTGCTCATGCTGCTGGAAGGCAAAATGGAAAGTGAGCGTTGTGTGGCCACAAGCAGCGTTGATGCGCGTGAGTGCAGGTGCTGGGTGCATGAATGAAGGTCGCTGGCGACCATCCTTGCCCACACCAACCAGCGCCACTCGCTTGTACTAGTACGATGCCAGTCCCAGCGGATCGTATGCACAGCTGTGGCCCCCAACGGCGCTACCATCACTCACAAGACCCTGGAAAGGACGCAATAGCTCCGTGGGACGCCGCTTGTTCGCCAGGGGTTAGGGAAGGAGACGCCGCTCCAGCTTCAATGTACTAGTACTGATATTGTTCTAGCTCTTCGATGACCAACGTGAACACTCGCTTCCCCCTGGTCCGATTCGCTCGTTGATTGCGGTGTGGTCGTGTCATCGCCCTGCTGTTTATGGTGTGGCAACAGCTTCGGCTTGCACCTTCTGTCTGGAGGCCTCTGCGGAACGCAACGTGTGGGTGTTGCAGCTACACCCACACGTAGCATTGAGTGCTACAGTATATGTATTTACGTAAGAGTAAGAGAACACCTCATAAATGCGCTCAATCTTTTGTTGTCGTACGCTGCACACGTAATATACAGGACATGGGCCTCTCATGCGTGCGCGACGGCCTCGAGCGCGTCGTCGGCGGCCACGACGCAGTAGCTATCGTCGCTGCAGTCGCTCTGGTTGTCGTCGAGAGGCGCCTCGTCTTGGTTGCTTGCGCCTTCTTCTTCAACGACGGCGGCCGCGTCGACGTCGTCTTCGGGCACGTGGTCGTACAACGTGTGGAAGAGGAACGCGCAGAGCGAGACGGCGATGCCCGCATGGTGCTGTCGGCGCGTCGGCCGGCGAATTCGCATGATCTTGGCTTTGGCCGTCTTGTCAAAGTGGCTCTTGGAGTCGAGGCCGTAAAACTGGCACACGGCGTGGATGAGCAAGCGGTGGTACGACGACTCGAGAAGCGGCAAGACGAGCACCGTGTCCTTGTGCTTGGCAGGGCGCGTCCGCGAGCCGCCGGCCTTGGTCTCGCGCACGAGCGGCGTCGTCTCAATGACGCGCATCGGGCCCGAGAGCATGTTGGCGAGGACCGGGTCCAGCTCGACCGTCGACACGACTTCGTTCCACTACACCGCGTGGGTAGGGTTATTGAGTCCGCACAAGTTGTGTGGGTACCTTGACAAAGTGCACAACAACGTCTTCAATCGCCTGGATGTAGATGTGCATCGCGTCAAACGACGCTGCGAGGACCGAGCGCGCGCGGCGATCAATGCGCGTAAACATGTCGTCGGCCTCTACGCAATCCGTTGACGCGCGGGCGTCACCGCGGAAGCGTACCGCGCCAGGCGTCCTGGCGGCGCGCGCGGTGCGTTTGGTTTTGGTTGCTGTTGGAGCGCGCGTGGGCCGGCTCCTTGACGGACCGGAATGCATCCGCAATTGCTTCGTTCTCGGGCTGCGCCAACTTTTGAAAGTTGCTCCTACGCACCGCATAAGCCTCTCTGGCTACACGCTGCGACTGCAACGTACTTCCATTCGACCGAAATCGCCATGTGCTCCATGAGCTCGTCCAGCGACGCGGTGGCAGCGCGGTTGCCAAAGTGGTGGTCGTTAAAGTACCTACGTCATCGCGTTGAGATGTACGCCTCTCGACGCAGCGATGGCGGCGGCTACCGGTTCTGCGTCCGGCGGCCGATCGGCGGCGGCTTGGACGCCAAGTACGGCGGTACCATTTGGCGCTGCGCAGACCCAATCAAGTGCGCGGCAATCATGCGCTCGCGGGCGATGTTGACGCGGCCATACTGCTTGAGGATTTCCTTGCGCTCGTGCATCGAGGGCGCGCCGAGCGGCGCGAGGTCCACGAGCGGCCCGATCGGGCCTTCCGAGCCCGTCTCGGAGAAGCAGTCGGACGAGAGCCCGTCGTAGTCTTCTTCGTCGACGATCGAGACGTCGCTCACGGAGCGCGGGGACGAGAGCATCATGGCAGGCGGTAGAGAATTTGCGTCAATGGGGGCTCGGCTTCGCTGCAAGTCGGCGTACTCTTCGACAAATTCGCCGTCGCTGATTGGTTAAAATGGCGATGACAAGTGATGGTCACCGCCGTTCTTCCGCTGAACGTTCGGCGTAAAAGCGCGAGGTGCTCACTCGACTAATTGCACGCCACTCTATGCTGGCGACAGCACGCGAATGTCTATCCCCGTACGTTTCCGCGACCATAAGCACCTCTAGAGCATGACATAATGTCTTGTTAACAAGTATCCGGGGCGACCTTTGGCATCCAAGGCGTTCTACCCGGCGAAATCGCGTTGTTCGGTGTAAACTTGGGTGTTTTTAATGTATGCAACGGTAGGTTGTTTTACCCTATTTTACCTCGTTTTACCGAGACGTTTTACGCATCGGCTGCGATCTTTCGAAGAGAAGGCGAATCTCGAAGATGCAGCTCCGAGCGGCCGGAGGCCTGGCGACGTGGCTCGGGGGAGACGCCGACCCGGCCCGACGCGGTGAGGCTAACGCGACAGCATGCTACGCTAGGCGCGAGGTTTTTCAACGGCCCAATGTACCGCGCGGTGAAGTCCAGATAGATGGCAACGCAATAAGAACGCAACACCCCGACGACCACTTTTCCATCGGTTCCATATATGAAGGTGGCCAAGGGCTCCAGTCGTCTTGGCTATGGCTCACACACAGTTCGGTTCTAGACGTGGTCGGCCGGGTCGCGCGACATTGCACGGTCGGCGGCCGAGTCGAGGGTTTGCAGCGCCGAGAGGCGGTCGACGACGTCGTCCAAGATGGCCGGGTTCTCCTTCGCCATGCGCTGGAACTCGTCAAGCGAGATGTGGCCGTCGCCGTCCGTGTCGAAGGACTGGACGAGGTCGTCGACAGCCTTGTCGGGCAGCCCCGAGAGCGACCGCGTGAGCTTGAGCATGTGCGTGATCTCCATCCGCGAGAGCTTGCCTACACATACGATCCATCAGACACTTCGTTCGGATGATGCGTACCGTTGCCATCCGAGTCGTAGAGCTTGAAGGCAAAGCGCGTGAGGTTCACAACGTTCATCGGGTCTGGTGTGTTGGGCTCGGCGTTGAGCGTCGAGAGGCCGAGGCAGAGCTCCCGAAAGTCGATCGAGCCATTGTCGTCTTGGTCGAGCAAGTCGAAGAGCCGCTTGATAAAGTCCGGGTCTTCGTCAAAGAGCGCTTGCAGCTCCTCCAAGCTGATTTGGCCGTCGCCGTTCTTGTCGGTCGCCGCGAACCGGCGCACGAGACCCTCAATTTCCTCGACCGACATTTGCGTCAAGTGGTAGATCTCGCCCATCGTCGTGTGGTTGACGACGTGCTTCTCGGCGTACTCGCCGACCTGGCAGAGCAAGCGGACGTCCTCGAACGTGTGGTTGGTGCACTTGGCGCCCATGGCCTGCGCCATGTACTGACGGACGTTCTCTGCATATACATCGGGCGACGCTTGCTCTTCGGGCGACGGCGAATACGGCTCAAGGTACGTCACTTGCATCGACATGTGCACTTGGCACAGCATGCGGAAGAGGAGGTACGCTAGCATCCACATGTCGGTATGTGTGTTTCGGGAGATGACGTACCGGCCGAGACCGACGGCGGCCAGCTAATGTCAAAGTGCTTGTACGGGTACTGCAAGATGACTAGGCGAGATATGTAAGCAACACAAGCAAGAGGAATTGCGAAGACGAAGGACCTGGCTGCACGGGCAGACCGGCGACGAACGCACCGCGCTTGAACTTGGTCAAGTAGTCCTGGCTCGATGTCGTGCCTTCCGGGAAGATGAGCAGCGGCGGGAAGTCCTCGTCGATCATGTGGTTGCGGATGTCATCGAACGCCTTCTTGCGCCCTGCGGCCGTCTTCCTGCGTCGCGTTTATGTGAGACCAGACGTGGTTGCATGGACACGGCAGTACCGTTCAATCAAGACCGGGTCGAGCGCGCGAATGACGTTGCCGACGAGCGGGATGTCGGCCATGTCGCTGCGGATCGCAACACTAGCATCGCGAGTATGAGCATGCATGGCCATGCACGTAAGGCTTTTACCTCGGGAAGCAATGGGCTGCCATGAAGATGCCATCGATGAATGAAATGTGGTTGCAAATGATGAGCTGCGTCTTGTCCATATCGCGCTTCGCGGCCGGGTACTTGACGTCAATCCAGTAGAAACCAAGCACGAAGAGGAGGAGGCGGAGGAGGCCGCGGATCGGGTAGACCAGCGCGCGGCGCCACTTGGCGAGCGGGCGTTCGTGGCCGTCCTCGTCGAGGCGCTTGTGGCCGATCGTGCCGAGAAAGGCAAGCACGAGGATCGGCACGCCAAGCACGATGACGAGCGCGATGCGAATGAGCGGTACGAGCAAGATGCACATGACCAAGATCTTGACGCACTCGTAGTTGGTGAGCTTGGGCGTCTGGTACAAGAACGGGTTGAAGACCTTGCGCTGGCTGCTCTGGCGGATCATGTTGGTCAGCGAGAGCATGCGGCCGCCCTTCTTGATGCGGACCGACGGCGTCGACGTCAGCGAGCCGGGCGTGAGGTTCATCGTGCCGTAGCTAGCCGGCGTCCCCTGAGAAACTTGCATAATTTCGAACGGCGACCCGCTTTGAAGAATAAGAAGGATTTAAAGACACCGCCGCCGACAATTAAAAAAAAAGACACCTGCCATGGGATTGTAATCATCCTAATACGTCCATATCAATATACTGCAGAATAATATCGACGCCTGGCCCAGCCTCGATAATAATATTCGGCACAGACTGGATATTTGTATACTACCTAAACTATTGTATTGTACGATGCACGGCCTTCAACATCGACCACTGGGTGATAGCGAGAGCTTTCCGAACAGAATGCGCCGTCAGCACCGCACGAGCACGAGGCTCTGGACCTTGACCTCGCTTCCTCGCGCCAACACGGCACATTGGCGGCAGAAGGAAGAGCAAACATGCTCTGAATTTGAAGTTCAACAATACGAGTCCGCCTGGTTAAATTTTCGCGCCATTTCGCTCCAGAGCTGACAGCTGACCATGCTGAGGGGCATCGACACATGCAGTGCCCGTGATGGCCACCATTGTGTTCGTGCACGGTCTCAAGCCTTCAGTCAGCATGTGCGAATAAAACTCGTAGGTCACATCCAGTGCGGCGTCGCTGCCGTAATGCGCTGGAACGCTTCAGGCGTGTGTGTACCTCGGGTGGTCTGTCACCCACGGTGTGGAGTGTCGTCTTGGATTAAGGTTTAAGTTCGAGACGAACGAATACTTCGATAAGGGTAGGCCTGGCCGATGTGTGCACTCTCATTTGCATCCGACAGCCTGATGGGGTTGTCAATGCCGTTGCGTGTTGTCAATGGAACACTTTTAGGGATGGCGTGGATACCAGACTCGTTTTCAGATCTGGATCGGCACGACGATCGACGACTTTTTTCGACAAGTTTGCCGTTTCGGTACAAAGTTATGCTTCCGCAGCAAGAACCTCCCGATCTGCTCCCGATCTGGCTTTCATAATTCTCAAACAATAAGTTCGTTTCGCGTCAAGTTCGGATGACCTGGAACGCATATCGCACTGACGTGGCACGCACGCGACGACGCCACGCGAAGAAGGCCAGTTCCGAGTGCGTTGATGTCGAACGACGAGGCCGGCTGCCCACCACACCTTTCTGCAGCAGTGGCAAGCGACTGTCCGACGACAGCAACCCAGGATGGCGTTCTCTTCCTCCGAAGAGTACGGTACGGCGTCTCAGTCGACAGGCGTGAGGACAGTCAACTTTAGTCGGTGATCCGAGTTGGCGTCCAGGCGAATGCTGAGTGTACACACGGACGATACTTATACCCCATCGCGTCAACAGGCACATGACCCATGCTTACCGCGTGAGTGACGTCAAGGATAAGAGAAGACGCGGCTCGGTGTTGTTGAAGGCGATCGAGATTATGCGAAACGAAATAAAATACCATCTGCCTCGACCTCTTGGTATTTGTAGGAAAGATTCTTCATCTGGTAAAAAAGCACGTCCTTGGTAAAAAAAAGCACTCCACCGTGTGCAATAAAATTACATCGCGATCCATACAGACCATGGTCGCGCGAAAATATTATAATACAAGTGGACAGAGGTCAGTCGCCGCCACTCTCGAAATGCCATCTCGGCGACGCACGACTGCGCTAGTGACCTCGACCACGCTGCTCTTGCTGGCGCCAGCCACCGCGACGACAAGCGGCCTCGCCGCCTGGATCGAGTCGGCCAAGGACTATCTCGCAGGTACGCAATCCCAAGAGCTCGACGAGCAGCAACCCATGGGCTCATTAGTGTCCAACGTGGCCACGCCCGAGCTCCGCGCGACGCGCACGTGCGCAAGCATCACGCTCGACTGGGTCCCGCTGCCCGACGCCGGCCACCTCTACGCGCTTGAGGTAGGACGCAGGCATGCATGCTTCACACGACGCTCATCATGCGTGTGCAGCGTCGGCCCGACCGCGCACTCAATTGGAAGTGGACCGCGCTCTCGGTCGAGGAGGCGGCGTCGCCGCTGCTCTACTTCAACGACACCAAGATTGACAACAGCCGCGAGTACACGTACCGCCTCCACGTGCGCACGCCAGGTCAGGTGCCGTCCGAATTCGTGTATGCGGTTGCAGCGCCGTCCTCGTCGTGCATGAACTGGTCGGAGTTGGCGGCCGCGACCGTGCACTCGCTCAGGATACGCGTCGACACGGTGGTTGCGACGACGGCCAGGATAGCGTGCTTGCTCCTCGGCATCCACCTTGTCTTGCTCGTCGTGCGCAGCTACCTCGGGCTCGCGCCGGACGCGCGCCACCACCTTCGCCGGCTGCCATCGACGTCGCCGCCGCCACCGACCACAGAGGTACGACAACTAGATGCATGTCTATTCGCTAGTTGATGTTGATATTGATGATGCTATGTTATAGCTGCGTCGACGGAAGGCCAACTCGGACGTGTCGTGCAGTAGTACCGAGAACGAAAGTGACATGGACACGCCGCGCTTGAGCCAAAGCAACGCGAGCAGCAACGCGCAGCTGACGGCGTCGCACGCATCGTCGGCGATGGCGTCGGTCACGAGCCTGCGCGACTCGGAGGCCAAGGAGGCGCGCTGCCACGGGTGCCGCAAAAAGTTTGGTCTCTTCCGCAAGCGCCGGGTCTGCGCCACGTGCCGCATGATGCTCTGCCGGCCGTGCGGCATTGCGCGGACGTCGCCCAGCGTCAAACAGTACATTTGTCTTCCCTGCCGCGCCGACGCCGCGGCCTAAGCTATGATTTATTTGCCTTCACCAACATAACATCTTTCAGTGCATCTTCCTTGGTACGAGTCGGCGACAGGATATCGAGTGCACACAAGTACATTCAAGGGGGCAAAAGGGAACGAGCAGTTAAACCTGCGAGTCGAGGGCGCCGCCACGAAGCGTGAGGTTGGACGCGTCGGTGCCATCGGCGGCCGCGGCCTTGGCCATCGCACGCTGCAGGAGGCGCGCGCAGCCCACGTTGCCACCGGCTTCAGCGACCGTCAGCGCGGTGTTGTGGTTGGCGTCTTCGACAAACGGATCCGCCTTGTAGTCCAAGAGCAGTTTGACACCGAGGCCGTAGCCGCCGACGGCCGCCATGTGCAACGGCGTCACGTGGCGTTCGTCTTCGACATTGACGTGGACGCCGGCTTCCAAAAGTATTCTAGTCGACGCGATAGGAAAAGGACGATTGCAGATCGTGCGTACCTCATGCATTCGGTGTGGCCGCCCCGTGCCGAGTAGTGCAGCGCGGTGAGGTTCTCGCTGCTGCGCGCATTGATGTCGGCGCCATGGGACGAGACCCAGCGCTGGAGCATGCGCGCATTGCCCGTCTCGGCAGCAGCCTTGGCGAACGACGGCAGCGCGCCGACAACGGACGAGCTCTCGTGCGCGCCGGCCTGCGGCTCGGAGCGCTTCTTCCGGAAGGCTTTCTTCGCCATGTACTGGAGCTTCTCGCGCTGGTGCGACGACGCCGAGACGAGGACGAGGAGCAGCACGAGGAGCAGGACGCCCACGGCGATCGCGAGCGGGTGGATCGCGCCCGCCTCCGTCGCCATCGTGCGGATAGTATTGACAAGTGACGTCGTAACACGCAAAAAGGCCAATCGAACACTAGAATGGCGATCTTTTTAACCAATCGGTGTGCAACAAATGGCAAGCCCCACCGTCGCCGTCGTCGTCCCGGACATCGCCACCCCACCACCCTCCACGACGCCCGCACGCTACACCATGGCATTCCCACTGCGTTAATATACACGCGATATCGTGCTCGTCGCTAGTATAACGCGTGTTTTGCGGGACAACAGAATGTTCAACCGGAGTTTGACGTCTTGGTGTTGGTTTTTACGCGTCGAAGCCACTGTGGTATTACGTCGCCAGGATCGACGCAGCGAGGCGAGGTGCCCATCCACCGCGCCACCGCGGTCTACGCATGCTCATTTCGCTTGGTGCCTGCATGACCATTCTTGCTTCGAGCAAGGCTGATGCTGCGGCGTCCTTGCATTTAACGTGGGGTAAAAGGCTCGGCGAGGTGGGTTAAACGCAGCGTCCTTGGCACAAACCATTTTGACGGCCAGCGAGACAACATGGGCGTAACGCGCTTCCTGCACCCGTACTTCCTCGTCAACACAGCCTTGATCGGCAGCTACTTTGGCGCCCGCTACATGGGCTACGAAAGCGACAGCATCGTCGACGTCGAGGACTACCTCGGCATGACGCGGGTACGTCGACCGCATGGCGACCGCGGCTGACCATGCATCCCGTGGCGTAGGAGCAGCAAATGTTCGTCTTCCTCGTTGGCTTTACGATCATCAACTACCCGAACAAGTCGACGATCGATGCGATCATCTCGATGGCCTTTCTGTACGGGAAAGGCGGCGTCGCATGCCTCTTCTACATGCTCGACACGACGCTCTTTGTCTACTACCTCGTCGCGTGGCTCGGTACGACGACGATGACCTGAACGTAGCAGCATATGGGCGTGCGTGTAGTGGCCTTTGTGCTCTTGCCGTACCCCAAGTACCAAGGTCCGGATGAGATTGTCGACTTGAGCGCCGACTCGTTCGAGCGCCGCCTCCGCGCCGACAAGAAGACCAAATGGATCGTGTACTTTTACGCTGATTGGTGCGAAGACTGCTTGCACCAAGACGCCATGTACGCGCAATTGTCGCTTACGTACGCCTCCTCGTCTCCACGGACGTAGCAATAAGAATCTTAGGCACGCGAGCGACGAGCTCAAGTTTGGCCGCGTCGACGTCGACAAGCACCCGAGCCTCGCGAGAGAGTTCTCGATCGACACGAACGCAACGTCGACGATCCAGCTCCCGACCATGATCCTCTTTGAGCACGGCAAGGAAGCGAAGCGTCTCCCCAAGCTCGACGAGAACAAGAAGCCGACCAAGACGCTCCTCAACACGGTACGACCATGTCTCGTGTCCGCTGCTCACCAGATACCATGCATATAGTACGGCGTCGAGCTCTACTTTGACCTGCTCGCGCCCAAGGACCTGTAGACGCCTCGTCGGCAATGACATCGTATCCTCCAAATAAGACGTGGCATCTTTGTGTTGTCAGTTGTATGGCTACACCCGCCGACGGGCCTCGCTGGCGGCGTCTTGGGACGGCCGAGGGGTCGTGAGCCTACGGAGCGACGGACAAGGCGTCGGTCAGCGTGCGACCGACGTGGGGTCTCGGGAGGGAGATGATGCAGGGACGTACGCGCCGTATCGGGTTGTGCGTCGGTCGTCGGGCTCCGTGGTGCGACCACTGGTGTTGTTGCGTGTCGTGAAGACGCGCTCAAAGAGCTCCGTGAGCGACCGCGTCCGGAGCCGCGCCTCTTCGTCCGACACTTGCTGGTACGAAGGTGGGACGCTCGCGCCCTCCGGGGACTCAAGGAGGTAGCGCCACTTGCTCTCCATCCGCACTTGCCAAAACACAAACGAGAGGAACGAGATGGTCGACATGCCAATGCCAGCGTAGATCGTCCGCTCAAACTGGACCCAGCCCACGAGCGCGACCGTCCACAGGAACAGAAATATACCTACGAGGCCAAGCCTTTCACCGAGATATCTTCACAAGCGAAGGACGAACCGACACGGAAGAAGCCATATGCAAGCTGCCAGTCCTTCTCGCAGCGCTTGAGCCACCAGACGTAGAACGGCGACTCGACGTCAAGCTGCTCGAAATCGAGGAGCCGCAGGTCGTTTTCGAGATCCAGCGACGCGTACCTACACGCCATGAGCTTGACCAAGGCAATGAAAAGGAAAGGAGGTACCGCGTAATCGCGAGGAGGAGGAGCGTGCACATGAGCATGCAGCAAAGCATGCACAAGATGACGCTGGCACTCACAGTGCCGTAGAGGAACATGACGCTCCATGCTACATCATCGGGCAAGTTGATTTCGACGTTGGCCACCATGGCGAAGCCGCCGAGGAGCGCCGAGAGGTTCGAGACCGCCGAGAGCTGCTCGCTGCGTGCGTCTGTGACCCGGCGCTCGTTCTCGAGCTTCTGGAGGCGGCGCTCGCGTTCAATGTCTTCGAGCCGCCACGCATGCTGCCGCTTCACGTCGTCTTCGCGCCACTGGATCTCTTGCTTGCGGTGCTCCATGTCCTCGGTGCGCCAGCGCTGCGCGTTCTGGAGGTCGTAGGACCCCATCATGGCGCCGACGACCGCGTTCATCTTGGTGCTGCTGCGTGGGCGAAATGGAAATCGCGACTTGCGTGAGCAACCGTGTGGAGTAAAAATTCGACATGCGACTCTTGGTTTTACTAAGGAACTTTGAATCTGCGCTTTCTATTACATGTATCCGCATCCGAGAGGTAGTTTCCATCTGGCTAGCAGCACGCGACGAGAGCATGGAGTCCATCATGGAGAACCTCATCGGGTCCTATGACCAGCGCAACGCCAAGGCGTGGCGCGACGAGGACATGACCCAGCGCAGCCAGGAGCTGCAGTGGCGCCAGGACGACCTTCGCCGCGAGAACGAGTGGCGCATCGAAGACATTCGCCGCCTCCGCATCCAGGTCCGTCGACACGTACATGCGTGGAGCTGATGATGCGAACGATGCTGCTGCTAGGCCAAGCTCGAGAACGAACGGCGCCAAGCAGATACGCGCGCCGAGCAGCTCTCGGCTATCTCGGAGCTCGGCGCGCTCCTCGGCGGCTTTGCGCTCGTCTCGATCATCAACGTCAACGTGCCCGAGGACATTGACTTGACGCTGCTCGCAGTCTATGGCTGCGTCTCTGCCCTCACGGTAGGACTACTGATGCGTCTTCCAAGGTTCTGACAAACGCATAGATCTGCTGCATGGTCATCTCGCTCATCATGTGCGCGATTTTACTGCTCGCTGTCACACGTTACTCGGCCCATGAGCTCGAGTACGACGTTCGGATCCTCAAGGACGAAGAGATCGACATGGACTCGCCGTTCCACATTTGGTGGCTCAAGAAATGCGAGACGGACTGGTCGCTCGGCTACCTCCTCTTTCGCACTGGTAGAGAGAGTCCCAGGAGCGTCTTATCGATCGTCTTGTCGATATGTAGGCGTCACACTCTTCCTCATCGAGCTCGCCGTCGTCTCGTGGGTCCAGTACAACTTGTACCAGACGACGTCGATCAGCATCTCGATCGTCGCGGCCATTGGCATTCTCATTTGGCAGTTCCGCATTCTGAGCCGATGGCGCTACCTGATGAAGCTGCCGGCCATCGAGGTGCACGGGCCCATTGACATCACCGTCACGGCCGCGTCGCCACGCCGAGCGCACTAGCGTAATGGTCTAGAAACACGCACGCGTTGTCTGTCGTCTTCAGCGCGCGTACCAAGGAGCCTGGACCGTTGTACCTCGGGTTGTACCTGCATGTGCTGGAGGGTCGCGAGTCCAGTTGTGTGTTTTCAGCCAAAGAAGCTCTGTCGCAAGGGTTGTAGTTGATTACACACCCAAGCACCTGGCACGGCCCGCCGCCTGCAGAGCTCGTCGTACCTGGTACTCGTCGCTGCTGCAGCATGTATAGCGGCAAGGCGCAAGGGCTCTCGACAGTCGACTCGGTCGTGAGCGCGCTCATGGGTTCGTACGACGTGCAAAACTTCAAGATGTGGCGGCTCGACGACGTCGAGTACGTGCGCCAGCGCCAGCAGTGGCGCGAAGACGACATCCGCCGGCGCCACGCGTGGCGGCTCCAAGACATTGAGCGCGTCCGCCGGCTCGAGAAGCTCGCGAACGAGCGCTGCCTCATCGACATTCGCACGGAGCAGCTTTTGCACATCTCGCAGATCTCGATCGTCGTCGCGTACTTTGCGCGCGTCGCGTACGTCGAGTCGCAGATTCCCAAAAACGGCAACCCGATCATTGTCGCCTTGCAGGGCTCGTCCGCGGCCTTGGGCGTCTTGTGCATGATCATGTGCATGATCATCGTCGTCCTCATCCAGATCGCTGTCGCGAGGTACGCCAAAGAGACGCACCAAGCCTATCATGCAAATAGGTATGCGACCGAGGACCTCGAGGACCAGCTGCGCGCCGTCAAGATCGAGCACCTCGACGTCGTGTCGCCATTCACGCAGTGGTGGCTGCTGCGTTGCGAGAAAGATTGGCACATGGCCTTCACTCTCTTCCGCACGGGTACGACGCTCGAGCGATCCCTCGTCGCACCGTACGAAAGCATGTTGCTGTAGGTATCGTGCTCGTCCTGCTCACGATCGCCTTTCTGAGCTGGCTGCAGTATACCAAGAACTTTGGTGTCGGCGTCAGCATCTCAACGTTGAGCTGCCTCACCCTTATCTATTGGTTCTGCCGCATGCAGCCGCGGTGGCCCGAGGTGCACGCGTTCCCAATGCACGACGACTAAACGCTCTACTAATATACTTGGATACGATCTGCTCGCGATATCGAGTATCCTGCTGGAGGATCGGATAGCAAGGATCGATCCGACTACAAGGGATTGCGAAAAAAAGATCGCAAGTGCCGGATACGACAAAAATATCCGGCTCGCCGGTTGCACAGACGACGATGGACGTTGTTCGGAGCCCGACCGGCAGCAGCTCGGACGTCGAAGAGCTCACGCGCCTGGCGACGCAGCAGCGGCAGAAGCTGCTCGAGGACCTCGTCACGCTCCGGCGCAATGACTTTGCGTACCTCAAGGCGCTGCACATGGACCCGCGGCGCAGCTACTTTGTACGGAGCGACACGACAGGGCGATGGCTCAACTTCGTTCGCTGCGTAGCTCAACGTAGCCCTCGTGCGCGAAGAGCAGCTCAACCTCAAGAGCGTGCTGACGCCGGAAGCGCTCCAGCGCAGGTACCTCGCGGCGATGAATGGGCGTGAAACGTCACATAGCGCATTAGGTGCCATCAGCTCTATTACATGGGCCTGAGCCTCGGGAAGCTGCTCGAGATGACCAACCCGTCGCATCTTGCGCTGGAAGGCTGCCAGCTCATGGAAGAACTCGACTTCTTCTTCTTGCCGTCGACTTTGCAAAACATGGTCAGTGCGTCTGGTCCTCGCACTTGCAGTCACCGACGTGGTAGAAACTTGTGGTCGCTCCCAAAGGCCCACTCTATGAGCGCCCGACCGAGGCAAGCGGGCGTGAGAAGGAGCTCAGCGAGCCGCACCGGCCAACGCTGCGCAAGTGGAACCAAAAGCCTGCGTATCGACGCCTCCTCACGCCCCACATTGTGCGTCGGCCGAGCCTCGTATCGACTACCTCATTTCCATCTAGTCGTTTCCGCTCGACTATTGCGAGCTCGTCGTCTCGCTATGCGAGGTGCTCACGCTCGTGTACACCAAGCTCCTCGACGAGACGTGCAGCCGCAACGCCCACGTCTTCCAGGCCACGCTCCGCTTTGACGACAAGATCAAGGTCCTACATGCCCTTGTGTCGTAGGGTTTCGAAGCACATGTGTAGAAGCTGCTGCTCGAGGCCATTAGCAAGCAACTCGCGACGATCGCCGCCGAGAGCATCAAGGACGAGCTCGCAACGCTGCGCAAGACGCCGTAGACGTGCAAATATCAATGTAGCAACAGCTTATACGAACATGACGGCGTCGTCGTCGCGGAGGTACATGACCTTGTTCTCTTGCTCCAGCGTCGTGAGCGCCGCCGTGACCGCGGCGCGGCTCGTGCGCACGCCTGCCTTTTTCAAATTCGCCAAGATGGTCTTGACCGCGATCATGTCTTCGTCGCCGCCTTCTTCGCTGCGCATCTCGTTGAGCAGCAGCGCGATGTGGCCGAGGAGGTCCATCTCGATCGGGGCGTCGTCCACTGCGGGCCTACACACGACAGCATGACGATCGACGTCCAAGTCGCACGCAAATCACGTACGTTGGCGCACTCGCGACCTTGCGCTTCTTGCGCGATGGCATATCGTCCTCGACTTCTTCGTCGTCGTCTTGGATCACGACGGTGGGCTCGTCGACCGTGTCGTCGTCGTCGACAGCGGTGTCTGTCTTGGGCAAAACGCTCTCGTGCGACGCTTCGTTGTAGAGGGCGTAGTTCATGAGGGCCATGGCGCGTTTGGCATCGTCGAGCTCGATCTGCTTGCTCAGGCGAGCTTTGGCGTGCGCACTCGCAAGACGAATGAGCGTCTCGAGCGTACGCGCCGTGACCGGGAGCGTCCGGGCCGTCTGCTGCGACCGGAGTTCGGCGTACCCTTCCGAGATGACGTCAATCGCGGCGTCCGTGAGCAGCGGCTGGAAGCGCGTCTTGGCGTAAAAGATAAACTTTTTCAAAAACTCGAGCGTCAAGACGCCCGTCCCGTTGTCCTTGAGGTGCGTCGCCGCCGAGACGTTGCCGTGCAGGAGCGGGTCAAACTTTTGAAAGATCGAGTCCGCGACCGCGTCATCGCCCGACGTCACGTTGGTTTGGTGGTCGGTCGAGCTCACTTCAAACGAGAGCGGGATGCCTTCTTGGCCCGGCACGACGTACCGATGCATGCGGAGCACGTGGTCCGAGATGCATCGATCGGCGCCGCGGTCGAGCTTGTCGAGTACGACAAAGAGCAAATCGAAGCGCGAGAGGAGCGAGTCGGGCAGCCTAAGTAGCCCAAAATGAAATGCAAATTAGAGAGAGGAAGCGTCTACCCAATGTTTTCTTGTGGCCGCTTGTTCTTGTTGTACTGCCCGTACACGGGGTTGGCGGCCGCGAGCACCGAGCAGCGCGCGTTGAGCGTCGCGTGGATCCCGGCCTTGGCGATCGTGACCGTCTGCTGCTCCATGACTTCGTGGATCGCGACGCGGTCGGCCTCGCTACGCAACACTTGGTCATGAGCATGACGCCATCACAGGCATGAAACCTCATCTTGTCGAACTCATCAATGCACACAATGCCACGGTCGGCCAAGACCTACTCGCGTCGTATCCATGGAATCGGCATGCTGCGGAGGAGGTACCATAGCACCGGCTTCGAGCCGCTTCTCCTTGGTCTCCGGGTCCATCGTCACGGCGGCCGTGAGACCGACGCCGGACGATCCGCGGCCCGTCGTGTTGACGGCGAGGGGCGCGATCGTCCGCACGAAGCGCAGCAGCTGCGACTTGGCCGTCGACGGATCACCGACCATGAGCACCTACATCCACATCCTAACGTTAAAGCTACGACGAGAGTGGTCGTACGTTGATGTCACCGCGCAAGTGCGTGCCATTCTCGAGGTTCTTCTCGACACCGCCGAGCAGTTGCAAGAGCAGCGCCTAGTCGCAACTAGTACGTCTCTCGACAAACCCGCCATCGATGCTACCTGCTTGATCTCGGCGTGGCCGTAGATGGACGGCGCAATCGACCGCGCGAGGATGTCAAAGACATCGGGACGCTTGGCGAATTCGCGCACGTTCATGAGATCCTCGGTCGTCATGACGATACCGTTGACCTCCTTCCCCATGAGCTGGATGTTGTTGGCGAGGAGCATGGTGCGGAAGACGCCCGAGGTTGACGCCGCCTAGTGGCCTCATGCGTCAACTGCGAGCATTCTCTTGTTGAACGTACGTTGGCCGACGCCATTGCGCGAAAGACACCGATGACGCGGACGCGGTCACCGGGCTTGCACTTGTCGACAAGGTCCGACTCGACAATGACGTCGGATGACCGCGGCAATTGACTAGAAGAGGCTCGCGTCGGCGCGTTGATTAGAGAGAAGAGTACCCGAGCGGCGCCGTCTCGGGGGTCTCTTGGATCGTAATGACTTGGTAGTCCTTGTACTGGCAAAGACCAAACTCGGTCTCGAGCAAGTTGCCGTTCTCGTCCTTGGTCGGGTACACGCTCGTCGTCGGGATCCCCGTGAGCGATGTATGGTCGCGGTACTCGCGCGCGATCATGACGTTGGTTTCCTTGCAGTAGTGCACCTACATTACATGGTCTGCGCGTGCTCAAAGAGGCGGGAAGCATACCGACTTGACGACTTTGGGGCGCACGGCCGAGACCTTGGTCACGATGCCCTGGACGCACACGCACTGACAGAGAAAGGTCGCGACGAGCCCGCGCGGTGTGACAAAGTGGGCGCCAAAGTCGCCTTCGAGGCCCACTTGGATCTGGGACACATCGTTTGTGTTGACGGCCTTGGGGTTGTACGAGCTCTGGGCGTGGAGGACGGCCTCGCGCACGGCGTCTTGGAGCGCGGGCAGGTACTCGGCCGGCTGCTGCAAAAGGCGCGACACGATGTTGGCTTCGTCGCTGCCTACGCGAGGATGAGCGAACGCATGGCCAAGACGACGCACCGGCCGTGAAGCCGGCATCGTAGACGCGCAGGAGGTTCAAGTCGACGAGGAGGCGCTTGGGCCCTTGGCCGTCGGCGTCGGCGAGGGCGCGGATCTTCTCGGGCAGGAGCGACTCGTCCGACTCGAGGTACTGGAGGAAGTACTCCTTGTGGCGGCGCAGCGCGTCGTCGTTCGGGCCGCTCACCTGGTCCATCTAGCGCCGGGTTTGAATTTTGGAATCGCATTTGGCCAGCCAGGCCAGTTTCCCGCACAATTTCACCCAATCAAACGTGCGCGCGCCCCTCATTGGCGCTATTTGCGCTCCACACGAAGTGTTTTATCCGCCAATCCCATTCAAGTATTCAAACATTATAGCCAATCTGATGCCCGGGCGGGCCCGCCTCTTCCACTGGATCCTCCTCACCTCAGTACCTCGTTTTGCGCACGGCTGCTGCATTCGGCTATTAGTCGATGCGTGAGTCTGCCGTACACCAGCCCACTGGTAGCCATAGTCGACGTAGAAATTCTACGTAAAAATACCCCGTGCACCAAACTCTGTTTTCGACAAAGTCGTCGTCAGCAACGATTCCCACAGGGACCAGGAATACTTCTGCCACCTTCTTTTCTGTGTACAACATGTCGGTAGAATGGATGTACGGAGAGCAGCGCCAAGTACGATCCGCGATGGCCTCTGAAACGAGGCGCCACCGCGTCTAGCGTCGTAAAGTCGATGAATGTTCCAAATGCGATGGCTACGCAGACACGATTATCAAGTTATATATGATTGAGAACGTGACTTACCAACCCAACTCGATACATGAATAAATTAGTGTTCCCTTGCTACTCGACAATCAATTGTGCTTGTCAACCAAAGTCTGTAGCGATCGATATCATCAGCGCTCTCTGCACTAACAGGTCGTGCGGAGGCCGTTGGAAACATGAAGCTTGTATATATCAAGATGACATAATCTCTTGTGCATCGATCAATCGCCCACCATGCGCCGAGCTGAGCGCCGAGCTTGTCGCCTTGAGGCCAGCGAGTTTGGGCAGGAACGACGCATGATGAATCGAATGGTGACTTTCTTTTTCAGTATACCGTTTAGCCGTGCGCTGGTAAGAGGAGATACACGAGAATATGATGCAAATTTGCTGTTGTCCACAGCGAAATAGCTTGTGAAGCGGGTTGTCGAGATGATTTGCGATGATTTGCGATGATTTGCGAGAACCAGGTTCACGGGACGTGCCATTGACGTCTCGTGTTGTAATTTTAGCCAATCATATGCGGCCCTTTCGGATCGCTCGAAACTGTCACATACTGCCGACGACGATGGCAGACAGGACGTCAACGCCCGCGGACGAGTCGGCGCCCAAGAAGGCCGCGTTCTACCTCGCGCGGGGCGTGCGCACGCTCGGCAACCAGATCGGGACCGTCGAGTGGGACAAGTACTACCGCCAGGCCAAAGCCAAGGCGGATGCCACCGTGCGCAAGGTGAGCGGCTCGACGGTGCCCCTGGAAGCCGAGCTGCGCCATGGCGAGGCCTTTCTTCGCACAACCGCCGACATGCGCAGCGTCTTGAACCGCGGCGATCTCATCACGATGGCCAACGGCGAGACGTACATGATCAGCCCCGACGAGCACGACGCGTTCACGGCCACCGTCATTTCGCTCAAGGTAGACACGATTGCATCATGTCCATGCTCTCATCAAGTGTGTTGCGCGCTCTACAGTCGCCGCGTGGGTACCACATGGGCATCAACCGCGGCGAGTCGCTTTCGATCACGACGGTGCAGCACAACACGCCGATGGCCATGCCCAAGGTGTCGGTGCCGACGACCATGGGAGGTGTTCTTAGCGCCGTCGAGACGGTCGGCAAAGGGTACAACGCTACGATACGATGGCGCTTGCACGACTAATCATGGCTCTTGCAATAGCGTTGTCGGTATTGTCGGGCTCGGCGTCCAGAAAGCCAGTGACCTCGCGACCAAGGCCGGCGAGTCGGCGAAGGCGCTGGAGGAGCGAGCGCGCATCTTCGAAGAGCCGATTGGCACTGTCGCCAAGCCCCTTGCTGTCGGCGATCGAGGTGCTTCGTCGTCGTCTTCACATCCCATCGCTTCAAGCTCACCGACCTAGTTGTCCACGTGGCCAACGAGACGCTGCAGCTTGGCTTCCCGAACGCGATCTTGGAGGAAGTCCTCTGCGGCCTCGAAGAAATTCCCGACTGCCTCGTCTCGCTCAAGCACGACTCGAGCTACGCCGAGACCTCGAGCGCACTCATGGCGACGCTGAACCGCGGCGACACCATCGTATACGACGGCTTCTCGATCCGCAAGATCCCAACCTTCTCAACGGTAGATGATCCAAGGCGAACAGTTCAAGGTCTCGAGCAATCCCGCGCGGCGCTTTCACGCGACCCAGCTGCCACTGGACCGCAACCGCGTTGGGCCATCGGTACGCGCTTCCGTCCTTTGCCTGCTTGTCATTTTGCCGATTTTAGGTCGAGAACGTGCCCGTGTTTGTGACCAAGCGTAGCGTCGTGTGTATTCAGGTGCTATTGAACGCGTATTGCCGCTCTGAGTTTGGCCGTAGGTGCCCAACTGCCTCGTGTCCCTCGCGGCCGGCGCCTCGACAGTCGAGTTCCTCAAGATGCCGCCGCCTGCCTGGTTCCGCGTCGGGGGCTCTGTCGTACGTCACCGTCTGATCATCTCATTTGACGCATGCACCAAGGTCATTGGCGGCGAGACGTACGAGATCCGCGACAGTGTCGTGACGCCCCCGCGGTCCGGTGTCTCGGTGACGGCCGTGCCCATCTACATTCCAAAAACACCAACGCCGCTCGAGGGCACGGTGACGCTCAAGGCCGGCGAGTCGACGCTCGAGACCTCGGCCAACATCATGGCCAAGGTCAAGCGCGGCGACATGCTCGTACGACTTGCACCTTCCAGCGGCCACGTTACATGCACGTAGCAAATCGGCGACGACATTTACCACGTGTCGACCAACCCTCTCAAGCGGCTCAGCGCCACCGCGATTCCCCTCGACAAGCCCAACACGGCCGCCGACGTCACCCAAGCGCCGGTGCTGCTGTACGAGAACGCAGCGCGGGTGCTCAAGCCCGGCGACTCGGTCAAAATTGGCGACCAAATCTTCACGGTCGCCAACGACAAGGACCTCGTACGTACCGACCTTCGCTAGATCCTATGTGCACAATGTCCTAGCCGCTCACGGCGACCTCGATCCCGCTCGATCGGTTCATCGAGACGGAAATTCCAGGTTGCCAACAAACTGTCTTCTATTTTGTCGAGACTAACGCAGATCGATGGGTATACTAGCGGGCGCTGCGGTTCAATTCATCGGCGATCGATTTTTGACTGCGTCCGAGAAGGCGGCGGCCGTCGCCCACCGCGCCGGCGCTTACAAGGTACGTGCCACCTGTGGTCGTAGCATCTGCAACGACGTGCTAGGCGCCCATCGGCGAGTTCATCTCGATCGTGCACGGCTCCAACGTGCTCTTCACCGACGGCGATCTGCGTCGGCTCCTCAAACGCGGTGACGAGGTGCGTCCGTTGGCGTCACGGCGATGTCACATATTGCTGCGACGTAGATGACCATTGTCGGCGAAGTCTTTCGTATTTCGACCGAGCCCGGGAGCTTGTACGCCAAAGATTGCATGGCGCTCGACCGGCGGTTCGCATCTCTTTTGCATTCTGTGCGAAGACTCAAGTGGTGGCGCGTAGCTACGACGGGCCGACGCTCACGAAAGGCGTCTCCAAGGGCTGCCACGTCAGCACCTTTCTCAAGGGATCCCGCAACTGCATGGTGGATGTCGACGCGACCACGTACCTCGCCCATGGCGACCGCGTTGTACGACGTGTCGGAATGACGCGACGGACACTCACACGTGGGATAGCATATCTGCGGCGAAGACTTCATCGTCTCGGAGGTCAAGGGGCCCCATGTCACGTTGGAGACGAGTCGCAGTAAGGACTCGGTGTTTGCGACGCCGTCGCTCGTGCCCGACTGCCTCGTCTCGCTGCCGACAGGTTGGGTCGCTCTGTGTTGCTCTCGTCTTCACGCTTGACGTAGGCAGCAAGTATGCCACGACCACGTCGAGTCTGCTCGGCAAAGTCGCGCGCGGCGACGTGGTCGTACGTACACTCGTGTCATATATGTCACGGACATGACGTCATGACGGTAGATGATGGGCGAAGAGACGTACCGCGTCTCGAGCAACATTTTCATGCGCTTCACGGCCGACCAACTGCCGCTCGAGTCGGCGCGGCTCGGGCCGCCCGTCGAGATGGACGACCTCTACGTACGTGTAGCCGCGTTCCCGAGCTATCGAGTAGTAGCAAATCGAGGGTAGATGGCGCCGTACGAAGGCGACTTGGACGTACGCGTTGTCGCGTCGAGCGATACAAGTACGAGGGTCTTTGCCCTTCGTTGTACTAAGGAACAGTAGGTCTCCACGTCGACTACACCATCTACAAGCATGGCGACCACATGACCGACTACCAGTACAGCGCGGCGCGCGGAGCCGCCCGCGACGAGATTGCCAACCGCGCGTCGTCGACCAAGCGCAAGGAGCAGTGGAGCGCGCTGCACCAAAAGGCGTCGTCCAAAGCCGACTACGTCCGCGAAACGTACCTGGCGCCGGGGGCCGAGAAGATGGCCGGTGCCGCCATGGTCGCCAAGGAGAAGTGGCTCGAGCCCGGCGCCGAGAAGCTCGTCGGCGCCGCGTTTGTCGCAAAAGAGAAAATCCTCGAGCCTGGCGCGCGCAAGGCCGCCGAAGCCGCCATGGTGGCCGGTGGCGCGGCCAAGACCACGTACGAGAAGGCCGCGCCGGGCCTCGAAAACGTCTCGCGCAAGGCGGCGCACCTGGTTGCGGACCTCAAGTCGGGCGCCGAAGAAGGCTACGGCAAGTCGTCCAAGTGATTGCCTTTTTTTCTGGCATTACGATAGTACAAGGGGCGTCTACTCTCTCTCTCGCAAGTGTGTTTTGGTGTGTTCAATGGCTCATGGTCGACGCCATGTCCTTGCGCTTGCGCGGGCGCGGGCCGGGCTTGCTGCGCATCGACCTACCCAACATATGTCAAGAGATGCTAGGGTAAGGGTATTCGCACGGGTCGAGTGGCGCTGCGGCGTTGAGGGCTTCTTGGAGCTGAGCGAGGATCCGCGCCGGCGCCTTGAGCGTCACGTCGGGTTTGAGATCGATGGGGGGCACGGGCACGACCGGCGCCGCCCTGCACGATGGCAAGTGTCAGAAAAGCCGCTGCCAGCAGCGCATGTGAAGCGTACCGGGCGTACAAAGCCTTGTGGCACGTGGTGAAGTACCACTCGTTGACGTACTCGAGGACGTTTTTGGAGAGGCAGTTGAGAACGGCGATCGCATGGAGGCACGGGATGTGGTTCTGCTGCCACTCGCCGCACGTGCACGTACGCCCGACAATGTTGACGAGTTTGAACGCATTCGAGGACGAGCTGACCGTGTGGTACTGCGCAAAGTAGACCTCTTGCGGCCGGCACTCTTGGATCTCGTACCGGCCGCTCTCGACCGTGCGTTTGAGTAGAATGTTTTGCTGCGCGGGCAAAAGGACGCGGTCGGGCATCGCGCGGGCCGTGAGCGACCGGCTCACAAGCGTCTTCTGGATCGAGAGGAGGAAGAGGTAAAAGCACGGCGCGAGGTTGCACGACCGGAGGAGCGACCCGAGCGGACTCGTGCCAAACTCGCCGACGCAGTGCACGAGCACGACTTCGTTGAGCAGCGGCCACCCGCGGTTGAGGATCGCAGCCACGACCCAATGCTCCTTTGGGATACCCTCGAGGTACCGTCCAAGATCTACACAGCAGTACAGTGTCGACGCGTTGATGAGGCGCACTCTACCCTTGTCGATCCGCCACAGCAGCTGGAACGAGTCCATGTACTGGTCCTACACCGCAACCGTCCAGCCTACGCTCGTCGATCGAGACGATACCATGTTGGTGCTGGCGGCCATTTGCTTGATGAGGTGCTCGACCTCGGGCCCGAGACGGTTGAGCGACGGCGACGCGGCCGCGATGAGCGGGATCATGTGCTCGATGACGAACCGGTGCGGCTGCGCGGGAAAAACGTGGCTCACGGCGCGCGCAATGTCGGGCGCGCCGTTCGAGACGAAGCACGTGACGTTGGCGATCGTCGGCACCCCGTTGGCTTTAAGCCGCTCGAGGAACCAGACCCAGTTGACATAGTCGTCCAGCGGCACGTGGGCGAGCGCGAGGTAGATGACGTCGCCGTTGTAGTCGCGCGTGCTCAGGACGAGGAGGACCCCCGACTTGTGCATCTCCTACGCATTCCGGATGCAAAATTGCAATCGCTAACGAAGCGTACGGCGTTCATGGCACACGCCTCGAGGGCGAGGACGGGCGCACAGTCCTTGAGGAGTCGGATGGCCGCACCAATGCCGAGGAGGCACCGGCCGTACTCGTAGACGCCCGAGCCTACAAAGAGGTAGTTCGGTATTTGAGAGACGAGGTAAGAAGTACCGTCGTGCGGGTTGGGCACGTGGTCCATGACGTAAAAGCTGCCGGGGTTGGCGGTCACGACCTTCTCGAAGAACGGCCGCAGCTGCTGGTAGCTCAAGTTGGACGTCTCGTAGAACATTTCGACGAGCTTGCGCTTGGCGCGGGACGCCATGGACGCCGAGATTTGGGACCCAAACTGGGTCAGTAAGATGCCCTGGATGTCTTTGAGTTTGAGTTCTTCCGGGTCCTTGAGAATGATCAGCTGCCCGACTTCCGAGTCAAAGACACCGGCAAGCACGAGCTCGTTCGAGAGCGTTGTGTTGCGCGTAAGCCGCGACTCGTGCGGTCGCGTCTCGCCTGCATGCTCGTCGCCAGTGCCTTCCGAGTCGTGCGCGTCGACGGTCTCGGCCGCCGACGCCACGCCCGCGTGGTTGTGCGATAGTTCAATGTCGGTGACGTGGACTCGGTCGTCCTTGTTCTTGTACCCACTTAAAATGAACGTGCAGCCTACGACGATGACGGGATGAGCTTGGCACGTTGACAGGATCGTGTACCGGGCTCGCGGCACTCCCAGCGCTTGTTACGCTTGGACGAGTACTTGACGCGGATCTCAAAGCCGCAGTGCATCGCGAGCCGCTTGAGCGCGGACGACAGTTGCTTGAAGTCGACAAACTCCATGCGGGTCTGGTTCACGGGCACGCGCTGCGTGTTGAACGTCGACGCGATCGTGAGCTCGTCCGGCGACACCACCTACATATCGCCTTCGTCGTGTCATTGCATGCATCGCGTCGTACCGGTAGACTCTTGTCCGCACTGCCGCCGTGTGCCGGTCCTATGCACCGTGCCGTTAGCAGCCGCAGCGTGATGTTGCAACGTCGTCGCACCGTTCGCCTGCGCCATGCGGCTCATGACCGTGCTTGGCGCCACGGAGGTCATGACGGCGGTGGCGCTCGCAACGTAGGTCGAGAGCGCGCTCGGGTGCACGATCTTGAGCTCGATGGCCTTCTGGAGGATATCCTGGAAGCTCGCCGTGGGCTTGCGGGGCACCGTCGCATGCGCATCGTCGCGCTGGCTTCCGCCGACGCCGGCGGCCATCGGGTTGCTCGGTGCGTGCTGGCCATACTCGGTGGCGGCCATCGGCGGCTCGGCGCTCGCGCTTTCCATCGCTCCTCGTTCCAATCTGCTGCGTCTCCAGTTGTACTTGTTTTCCGACACAAACACAATTTTAAAAGCATTTCACACTCTATAGCTTGCAAATTGTAGATATGATTAAATTTCGTAATTAAAAAGATGCATCTCATGCAAAAAAACACAACTCCCCTGTGCCAATTATCCGGTTACCGTATCCGGCTGAACGAGGATGATGAGTTCATCATCTCATTGCTTATTGCGAACGATGGCCGACGAAGTGGAAGCGCTTCCGCCGGGCTTGGAGAACCGCATCTCGTGGGACGACCTCGACAAGCGCAAGTACTACGTCATCGGCCCAAGCGTCTTCGTCTTCGTCCGCGCCGCTGTCTACCCGAGCAACCTCGTCAAGACCCGGCTCCAGGTCCAGAGCCGGTCCAAGCCGCTCTACACGGGCACGATCGACGCCTTCCGCAAGATCGTGCAGCAAGAAGGCTTCCTCGGGCTCTACAAGGGCTTTGGCGCGAGCCTCCTCAACATCTTCATTGGCAACCTCTACATCTCGGTCTACGAGTTTACGCACAAGCTCGCCATGGAGAACGTGACGGTAGCCACATTCGTCCTCTGCCGCGCAGTAGCCTCATGTCAACCACGTATGCCTAGGAGACGCCGAGCGTGGCCAACTTTATCTCGGGGGCCACGGCGTCCATCATCAACCAGACCGTGATCGTACCACTCGACATTGTCTCGCAGCGCATGATGATCGATGGCCAAGGTACTCATCGTCGTCCTGCCTCGAACATCGTACGATGATGATTAATGTATATAGGCGGCCCGTCGGTCGACCAAAGCAAGTCGCGGAAACGAGCGCAGGGACTGATCTCGATTGGCCGCGATATCTACCGACAACAGGGGCTGCGCGGCTTCTACAAGGGCTACATCCCGTCCATCTGCACGTACGCGCCGTCGTCCGCGCTCTGGTGGGGCTGCTACGGCGTCGTGTGGCCGCACTACTACCGCTGGCTCAACCTCGATATCGACCCCATGTGGCGGCAATGTACGCGTCGTCTCCTCGTCTCCTCCTCTCATGCTCTATGGATGCAGCGATCGCGCAGGCCATTGGCGGCGGCACGGCGGGCGTCATCACCGCCGTCGTGACCAACCCCATGGACGTCATCCGCACGCGTACGCAGATCCACACGCAGTTTGGCGCCGTCGACACGTTCAAATACCTCATCCAGCGCGATGGAATTCCTGGCCTCTGGACCGGCGCCCTTGCGGTACTCTCTTCTTGTGCTCGGCGTCTCGTATCTCATTGCACTGTAGCGCGTCATGGCCATGGGTCCCTCGGGCGTGCTCGTCATCACGGCGTACGAACTCGTCAAGCGTCTCTCCAAGAAAACTGACTCGGACGAGAGCATGGCCCTTGCATTGTAGGTGCCACCACCGAGTTAGAGGAATATGCGTACTACTATGTGGTTGCTTACAGCGCCTGAATCTTGCGCACGACCGACGTCTCCACGAGCTGCATCGCTTGGCCAAAGGCGTCGGCGCCTGCGATCGCTGCGAGTTGGTTGAGCTGCGCGCACACGTACTGCTTGATGTACGCGGCCGTGATCTGGGAGGCCGACGCCGACGCCCGGAACTGGCTCAGAAGGCTCTTACGCGTCGTCGTCGCGGGTTCGGGTTCGTCTGCGTCGGCATCTTCTTCGATCGCATTGACACTGGCCTCCAAGAGCAGACCGAGGCGCTCGAGCGCCACGCCCGGGTGCGTCGTCATGAGGCTGCAGAGCGAACACACCCACGTGCGTCGTCGCAGCGGACCTACATATACGTAGTCCAAGACCGTTGTCAGCATGACGCACCAACAGCCGAAAAGGCTACGGAGAAGTAGAGGTGGAGGAGCATGTCGGCAAACTTGGCGACGGCCGCGTCCGACGACAGCACGCTAAAGAAGAGCGTCGGCGCATGCAGCGACGCGGTCGCGAGCGCCGTCAAGTACGAGATGAGCACGAGTTCGGGCTCCGAGCGCGGGTCTTCCAAGCTCGTTTCCCAGAGCCGCGCCAGAACCGCTACGGTACTGAGGTCCATGCTTGCTATCATACACAGTGCGTCCTACCGTGGAGTGGGGTTAAGGACGACGCTGGCAAGTGGCGGTACAGCTTCTCCACAAACCGAGCAATCTACAAGCACGAGAATGCCGCCAATATCCCGAGGCAACCAAGGTGGTACCATGTGAGCCATATCGGGCTTGACGGCCCCGATAAAGCCGTGGAGCAGCGTCGCCACGTCTTGCCCGTACGTTGCCCAAAAGGTCGCGCCGCCGATCGCGAGGTAGTTTTCAAAGAGCGTCATGCCCGCGTGCAGATGCTCCGTGTCCCGCGACAAGGCCGTGACGATGTTGGCAAATGTGTTGTGGCACGGTGGCGCGTACACTTCGAGCACCTACGACGTTGTCCTCCTATCGTCGCTCGTCGCCATACCACTGTGTACCTCGGTGAGGCGAAGCCACAGCGCGAGGCCTTGGTCCATGAGGTAGACGGTCTCGGGCTCGTCCGGGTTGGTCGCGTACGAGACGACCGAGAGCACCATGGCTTGCAAGTCGGCGTCTACACAAGACGAGACGTTGACAAACCCATGGCCAAACCAATCGTATACAAACCCAGAACAAAGTCGACTTCGGTCTCCATGATGCGGCAGAGGAGCGAGAGGACCTTGCCGCGGAGGAGGTTGGCGTCCGAGGACGCGGCGGCCTCCCAGATCGTTGGCAGCGGCTGCACGATCTGCACGAGCGACGACGGCGCCAGACTCGTACAGCACATGTGCGCAATGCTCTCGACACAGCCGAGGACCTTGAGCCGCGTCTCGGTCGTCGCGACGTCCGACGACATGAGGAACGCGTAGAGCGCGCTCACCGCCCGCGGCAAGAACGGCATAAAGTCCGTGCTCTGAAAGCCCCAGTCGTTCACGAGCGACTCGAGCGTCGTGACAGCGCAGTACTTGACCGACGTGTCAGCGACAACGGTGTCGGCCGCGAGCAAATGCAGCAGCGCTTCGTAGAGCGGAATGCGCACTTGCGCCGAGAGCTGCGCGAGCCAGCACCCGATGAGCCACACGATGCGCCGCGAGAGGACGGGCACGCCGCGGAGCGTCATCGTCGACGGCTGCTGGAGGTACGGCACGAGCGTCTGAAGGAACCACGGCTCGAAATCAAAGCTTTCATGGAGGTCGTAGGACGCAAGGCCTGCGGCCAGCAGCACCGCGTCAACCCGCAGCACCATGTCGTCGTCGCTCGTATTGGTATGTGGCGTGCGCAGCCACGAGGACGCCGACTCGATCATGTTGAGAACGCATCTAGTCGACTTGAGATGCAAGCGTGTCGTCGATAGCAGAGACGTACGGCGTGAGCGACTCGCGGTGGGTTTGGAGAAGCGAGAGGAAGAGGATTTCAGCGCAAGCGCGCACCGAGAGCTCGGACGAAAGCGACTCTTGGAGCGTAATGAACGCCTCGGGGTCTTCTTCCCACTGCTCAATGTCCGAGACCGTCAAGCGCAAGTACCTACGCATGTATGGTGACGACAATGACGCGTCGTGACAGTGACGGACCGCACAACAATGAGTTCAAGGAGCGTCGCCAGCAACGCCGTGTCGTGCCTATATGTATTGAGAACACGCTAGGAGGTGGAAGGTCGTGGTACATGAAGCCGCCGATTTGCTGCTGGCACTCGGAGACCATCGCGTCGTTGAGCTCGACCGAGCCGGCCGATGTGATGATCGTCTTGGTTACGCCCGAGATTGACGGCAAATGCTGGTAGAGAAGGCAGCCCATGACGTTCGTGACGTACGAGATCATGTTGATGACGAGCTTGTCCGGGAACGTCCGCGGGTCCGACAAGGTCGCGTAAAAGGTTTGAAGAAACGGACCTACATGCGTCTTGGACGTCAGTCACATGGATGACGATGACGAAGGTCCGACCAAGGTATTCGCGGAATTCGATCGGGTGTTCTTTTTGGACAGCAACGACGAGGCCTGTGAGCGCGGTGAGGACGCGGTACGAGAGCGCGAGGCACGGCGAGTCCGTCGGCAGCCTACGTGCAGCTTGATACGTTGAAAGATTGAAACCAAGATCGCACCCTTGCGTAAAGGCGAGCAACGCTTGGAACGTTTGGTAAAAGTTGGTAAAGATAAAATGCACGACGTCGAGGGGAACGAGCGCCTTGAAGCCGTAGAAGACGAGGTGGTGGAGCACTTTGGTGCTCAGAAGGAGCTTGGTGAGCACGTCGTCCATCTCGGTCGCATTCTGCAGCTGCTGCACTTGACTGTGCCACAGCTGCGCAATGAACGGAGAGACGACGACGCTCATTTCGTTGAAGACGACGCGCTGGGGCATGAGCCGACGCGTGGCGAGCTCCTTGACGACCGACTTGAGCACACGCAGCGCACGCATCTAGCACCGTGCATGAGACTACGCTTCGTGTCGAGGGCGTACCTGCTGCAGGGGCGAGCCTTGCTGGATGAGGTCGCGAAGGACACCGAAAAGGTCGGGCCATTCCTTCGGAAAGTCGGAGCGCGCAATGCGTGCAATCGTGACCTATGGTTGTACGTAAGGCAACGTCGTTTGCAAGCATGGCCCGTACGGCGAGTTGCGTCGCCACCGCCTTGTTGGTCTCTTCCGTGTGCTGGAGCAAGCCGCGCCGGACTTGCAGCTTCTCTTCCGCCGAGATCGTGAATTGCCGCGACCCGCGTGTGATCCACGAGCTCGCGACCGCGTTCTTGAGCGAGAGCGCCGCCATGAGGCGTGTGGCGTCCCCGACAGGCTGCTTGAGCACCTCGAGGCAGAGGCAGGCGAAGCCCGGCAGCTTCATGCACTGCTGCAGCGTCGCTTCGCCCACGACGCGGACTTCCTCGTACGGACTCAGCGCCTGCTCCATGGTGGCGACGACGTCGCCGACGTGCGATGGCCCGAGCGCGGCTGGGACGTTCATACTCGATCGATAATACTGGCAACCAAGCCGCCCGGATCGTTTATCCGGATGCGGGCGGTTTGGGATTTCCGGATAATCGAGGTATCCGGAATCCGAGCGTCATCCGCATCGCCGAACGATGGCTCACCACGCATCGCGTAATTCGTCCCTGTTATCCGGAATTCCTGTCCGGATACCGCCGGACGGTTGAAGTTGGCGGCGGACGAAACGCAGCAGTAGCCGCTCGTCATGCTCCGTCATTTTCGGACGCGCAGCATGAGCAACTTTACCGTCACGACGTACCAAGCCGCGGACCTCCAGCGCCTCCAGAGCCAGCGGGCCGGCGAGACGCGGCTCGGCCAAGCGGTGCAGTTCGTCAACCCGGACGTCCCGCTGCCGGCGGCGCTCGCATCCGCGCAGGCGAACGGAGCCAAGTATGCGATCTTCGGTGTGCCCGAAGACGTCGGGCCGCGGGCCAACTTTGGCAACGGCGGCGCGGACCTCGGGTTTCAAGCTTTCCTTGGCCGCTTCCTCAACGTCCAGGCCAACCAGTTTGTGCGTGCGCACGAGATCCTCCTCCTCGGCGAACTCAACTTGCACGACGTGCAGCAGCAGGCCGCGTCGCTCTCGTCCAGCGACCCGGACCAGCTCGAAACGCTGCGCAAGTGCGTCTCGATCGTCGACGAGCGCCTCACGGCCGTGGCCAAGCTCGTCTTTGACGCGCAACTGACGCCGATCGTGATTGGCGGCGGCCACAACAACTCGTACCCGTTGCTAAAAGCATTGTCGCAGTCGGCCGGCGTCAGCGCGGACGCGGTCAACCTCGACCCGCACTGCGACTTCCGCCTCCTTGAAGGTCGCCACAGCGGCAACGGCTTTAGCTACGCCCAATCCGAAAAGTACCTCGACAAGTACTTTGTCATGGGCCTCCACGAGCTCAAGAACGCGCAGAGCGCGCTCGACCAGATGCAAGCCGCGGGCGCGAGTTTTTGCAGCTACCAGGAAATGTTCCTCCGGCGCGAGTCGACGTTTGCGCAAGGGATCGACAAGGCGATCGCGTACGTTGGTGGCGCACACAGCACCAAGCCCCTCGGCATCGAAGTCGACACGGATAGCATCAGCGGTATGCCCGTGAGCGCCATGACCAACTGCGGCATCTCGGTCGCGGATGCCGAGTACTACGTCTACCGCCTCGCGCAGCTGCCGCGCGCGCGCTACTTGCACCTCGCCGAAGCCGCGCCCGGGCAGCACCCCGCGGGTCTCAAGGCCGGCATGAGCGAGGCCGGTCAGATCTTGACCGCGCTCGTCCTTGCCTTTGTTCAACACCATTAACACACCATGATGAACGAGCACGGCCCTCTTGATGCGTTACTTGGCCTTCACCTTGCTAGTCCGGCGCCCCTTGGATCTCGCTTTCGGTGGCGCGACAGCGTCGTCCGCCGACGAGCTCTCGGCCGAAATCTCCTCAAACGGCTCGTCGACCGGCGTGCGGCTGTCCGCGAGCACAGGCGGGAGGACGTGGACGCTCACAAGGTCGGGTACGTCGAGCGGTGCCAACGGCGGACTGGCAAAATAGGTGTCTTGGATCTGGGCAAGGTTGAGCGCTAGTTGGAAGGTACAGTCGGGAATGACTCGAGGTCGTCGAGGTCGTACACTGCACGCTCGCGTCGAGGCCATGGTCGTCCATCGGTGCAATCTCGACGCTGCTCTGCACCGCCTTGGAGATCGACGCTAGTAGGATACGACATGGAGCGGCGGCTACCTCGGATCGTATGTGTACCCGCCAAGTCGAGCGTTGGCACCACGGTATGCTTCTTGGGCTTGGAAGCGCCGTCGAACACGGGGCTTTCGCCCTGCGTGACGCGCTCGTGCACCTTGTCGGCGGCGTCCGTCGGCAGCGGCACCGGCCCCAGACGTCGCACGTTCAGCACGCGCGACGAGCCATCGGCACGTCGAACGGCGCGAAACGTAATCTACGTCGACGTCGCGCGCGTCACGACGTCCCAAAAGACCTACCTTGGGGTGCGCCCAGAGCGGGATGCTCGGACGGTGGTGCGTCTTGACTTCGACACTGGAAGGCGCCGGCGTGGACGGCGGTGGCGTCCCGTCGTGAGCCACGGGATGCGTCGCTCGGTGCTCCAGATCGATGCTCTGCAGTTGCGTGAGCTCGGCCGAGAGTGCAAAGCTTTGATTTTCAAGCAGAGAGAGCTTGGGGTGGAGCCGCATCGTCTTGAGCGTGCCGGCGTTTGCGACAAACAGAGTGTTGTCAAGTCCCCACTGGCACTGCAAGTGCAGTGCCGGGAGGTCGTCGTCGTCGTACTGGAACGTCGCCGACGTGCTGTTCATTGGCGTCGTGTGCCGCAGTCGCACGAGCGACTGGATCTTCTCTGTCGACCAACTCGGTCGGCCGAGGTCCCGCGCCTGCTGCTCGAGAACCGCGACTGCTTTCGACGCGGCGACCTGGCGCGCGTCGTCATAGTCCATCTCGGCATGGCAGTGGCCGTCGACGGGTCCGCCCTGGGGCCAGATCGCATACCTACTCGCATGCTGTGGTATGTATCAATGTATCAGGAATATGTACACGTGGGTCGTGCCGCGCAGCGACGTGACCGCGATCCACTTGGCGTCGACTGCGATGCTCACGTGGTGAATGCGCGCGTACGTGATGCCGCGCTGGAGCTTGTACAAGAGCACATGGTCGTCGCCGAGGAGCCGGTGCACGTGCAGCGTCTGCCCTTTCTGTGACGACGTCACGAGCAGCAGGCCGCTTGGGTCGAACGTCAGCGTTGTGATGGGCGAGTCGTGCGCCTTGAACTGGATGCGGTTGGCACCGGTGACCACATCGTGCACGACGACGCTCCCGACGTCGCGCGTCTGTAGAGTTGAGAGGTTGAAAGATTGATACAACGGCGTACCTCGTCCGATGTCGCTGCAAACGACGTCGCGAGGGACTTGCGGCCGACCTACGCGCCGTCATGACGTGACGTCGACGCGTCGATAAGATGTACCTGCGAGAGAAAGTAAAGACTCGAGGCCACGCCTTGGGCCACGTTGGTGAGCGAGTAGTCGTCGCGCGCGGTAAAGGTCGCGGTGGACGACGCGGCAAAGCCACTCGCGTGGCGTTCGTCGAGCGCTGACGGGAACGCAAGCCAGCGAGGCCCAAGGGCCATGGCATCCGCAGTCGTCGGAATTGTCGCTACTCGACGCATGCGGGTTCCCGCTCTGCAAAGCAAACAATGGTGTACCTTGCAGCGCAAAGTTGGCGCGCCGGTCAAAGAGATGAAGCACGCGGGGGGATAAGATCGTGAGTACATGGTCGTTGACGCGAACGTCGAGAACGTCCTTGGCAGCCATGGGCCCCACGACCTCGTGCACAACCCTAATGCATGCGCAAATCGAATCGTGATGGCTGGGACGTTAGAGACGCGTACGCTTGGCGCTCGAGCGAGAAGACGCAAATGCGCGTCGAGACCAAGAGCAAGCTCGGCAGCGACGTATCTACGCCGCAAGCATGAGGCGGGATCATGGGCAAGCGGCGTACACGGCGCAGCGTCCATAAAGCGGATAAGGCGGACGGGCGCGCTCAGCGGGTGCTCTTGGCCCACCTAGGAGCATGCATTGTACGCATCCATGCATATAGCGTCGCTGCCTACGAGCGCCATCGTCGTTGCATCAAAGACGCCAAAGCGATGGGGCACGGCCTGGCAGAGCAGCGTCGTGCCGGTCGATGGGCGCTGGAAGAACTCGAGGCAGGTCACCTGCGACGCCTTGGCCGGCGACGGGAAGAAGTACGACGTCCACTCCTCCAGCATCCCGCCATTCGCGGCCTTGGTCTCGGTCATGGTGGTCCTCGGAAGATTCGAGCGGATGTTGGGGATTCTCGATAAAGTATCTTTTGTCGCAAACGAACTTAATCGAATGCAAAACTTATCCGAAAATTGGGTGTCCCGGAGCGCGGAGCGCCGAGAAAGCGCACCTGTTTCAGATCACGCACCGCGGCGCATGTCCCTTCAAGACTTCAACTTCAAACTGCCCGTCCCAAGTGTGTGCTGTCGTCGTGGCTTGCCACGTGCCAGCGTGCGCCACCGCGCGGGCAGCCGGCGCAGCTTCGACAGCTCTATCGCCCGTTCTTGTGCGTCCTGTGGCGCGATGTATGTAAACCTGCCATGGCGAACTCGCGTCTCGACAACGGGCGCATCGCGTAGAGAATCAGCAAGGGCCTCTTGCGTGCGTACCCTGCGCCAAAGGTCTTGTGCCGACGGTGTCGTCGACAACGCCACGTTTCTATGGCCGCATGAAGTGCATTTACCACGCACCCATCCAGATACTGCTTCCGTAGCGTCTCGCTTGTCCTCTCGAGCGAATATCTGAAGCTGCTGTTCCTGCCGTGTCTTTATGCAGGCGGTCCAAGTTCAAGGACACTGCGGTTTGCACCTACGGCCGCATCACGTCAGGCGCGTGGCGCCCCGGTCGCCTGGCCATGCAGCCACGTACACTGCGACTTGGGTGCGCTTTTCCACTGACTGCGCGGAAGTCGGTGCGTTTTTCTCGGCGCGTCGCAAGCGCACCTTCAACAATTGGGTGCGCCGATGGCTGCGATCCGGATGGTTGGGTGATCTATCCGGATGAAATCTTCCGTCGACAAGCCCTCGAGCACTCAAAAGTGAATTTACACACAAGAGCACACAGGATGCAAGCTGACGACGCGGTACGTCGCCTTCGCCGCCGATCGCCGCCGAGGGCTCATGCGAGGCTGCTTGGGCATGTAGCAATGGATGGAAGCCGGCCAGCAGTGGGTCGAGTGGGACGTCAACGAAGGCACGAAGGCCGAGATCCAGGCCCTCCTCGACACGGAAAACGTGGCTGCGCTGCGCCAGAAGCTCGAGAAGCGCCTCGAATTTGGCACGGCCGGCCTCCGCGCCGCCATGGGCTCGGGTACGCGATGCAAAGTGCGTCCTCATAGATGCTCATGCCTCTGGCTTTAGGCACGGTGTGCATGAACGACTTGGTCATCATCCAGACGATGCAGGGTCTCTGCAAGTACCTCGAGACGACGTACGGTGCTGAGGAGGCGCAGGCCCGCGGTATCGCGATCGGCTACGACCACCGCAGCAGCGGTACGCTCAACTCGGAAAACTTTGCGCTCTACAGCGCCGCCGTCGCCGTCTCGCGCGGCTTCAAGGTGTACCTTTACAAGGGTTTTGTCGCGACGCCCCTCGTCGTACGTTGAACCTCTCGCGCCGTCTGTGGAGGCTCATGTGCTGTTTGTAGCCCTTTGCCGTCGACCAGAAGCACTGCGTCGCTGGTATCATGGTCACGGCGTCGCACAACCCCAAGGCCGACAACGGCTACAAGGTCTACGGTGCCAACGGCAGCCAGATCATCCCGCCCCATGACGAGCTCATTGCTACGAGCATTGTTGAGAACCTCGCGCCGTGGCAGTCGTACGACATTGCCGCTGTCCGCGACCACGAGCTCTGTGTGGACCCGACCGAGGAGCTGAGCACGCTCTACTTTGAAGCTGTCGGTGCGCTCTCGCGCTACACAGCCGAGAACTCGGACGCCGACATCCACGTCAAGGTCGCGTACACGGCCATGCACGGTGTCGGCCACGCCTTCACGAGCCGCTCCTTTGCGGCCTTCAACCTCCCGGCGTACACGCCGGTCGAGGCGCAGCTGCTCCCGGACCCCGAGTTCCCGACGGTCGCGTTCCCCAACCCGGAAGAGGGCAAGGGCGCGCTCCAACTCAGCTTTGAGACCGCCGAGCGGTACCGACGACCCTTTTTCGACCAAGTTTTCTCATGTTTTTATCGATTAGGGAGGGTTGCTCGCTCGTGTTGGCCAACGACCCGGACGCTGACCGCTTGGCCGTCGCCGAGCAGCTGCCGTCGGGTCAGTGGTACGTCTACACGGGCAACGAGATCGGGACGCTTCTCGGCCACTGGGAGTACACGCAGCACATGCTCGCGCACCCGGACGCGGACAAGGACAATTTGTACGTCATCGCGTCGACAGTCTCGTCCAAGATGCTCCGTGCGGTCGCGCGCAAGGAAGGCTTTCACTTTGTCGAGACGCTCACGGGCTTCAAATGGATGGGCAACGCCACGAGCGATCTCCGCGCGCAGGGCAAGACCGTCCTCTTCTCGTTCGAAGAAGCCATCGGGTTCTGCGTCGGGTCCGTCGTCAAGGACAAGGACGGCGTCTGCGCCGCGGCCGTCTTTGCCGAAATGGCCCAGCAGGTATATTGCTGATATCTTGATACATTGATACAGTCGAAGGCTCACCCATGTGTGCTTAGCTCAAGAAGCAGGGCAAGTCGGTCCACGCCCACTTGCAAGAGCTGTACGCGACGTACGGCCCGTATGTGACGCAGAACCACTACGTCAAGTGCTACGATGCGGCAACGATCCGCAAGATCTTTGCGCGTCTCCGCAACGACGGCAAGTACTGGCACGCGGTCGGCAAGTACCCGATCGCGGGCATCCGCGACCTCACGACGGGCTTTGACAGCGACCAGGACGACAACGTGGCGCGTACGTTGTGCCATTGCATTCATTGTGGAAGACTCATACTATGGTCTGATACTAGTGCTCCCGGTCTCGTCCTCGAGCGAGATGATCACGTACTCGTTCAAGAACGGTGTCGTCGCAACGCTCCGCACGAGCGGGACGGAGCCCAAGCTCAAGTACTACTGCGAGTCGCCCGGCCGCCTCGGCATGACCCGTGACGACGTCGCGGCCGAACTCGCCGCGCACGTCGAGTGCATCGTCGAGGAGATGCTCCAGCCGGAGCTCAACAACCTTGAGCGCCCTTAAACTACTACTAATCTGTCTTGTTTGCATTTTCTTATTTGTCTTTTATTCATAATACAATATTCTTATATTCTGAGAGTATAGAGTTTGCTGAAACGGCGGTTAACATGGCCGCCGAGCCCAGCGTCGTGCTGCCCAAAGTCGGCGTGCAGTGGAGCCCTGCCAAGCTACCGTCGCGCGAGACGACCTTATGGCGGTCGATCCAAGAGATTGACGCCCAGCGATCGCTCCTGCTCAACAAGGCTCAGCGCCGGTGCCAGTCGACGTCGGCGCTGCAGCGCTCGCCGCTTGCGTCGCCGACCAAGGTGCTTGCCTTCACGTCGTTTGCAGCATCCTATCTTTGCCGTAGAAGCCGCCACGTAAGGTCGAGGACCACATCTTGTGCAGCTGCGGCCATGACGTGGCGCTGCGTCAGCTCAAGCACCACCAGGTATTCACACGCAGCGAGTGGCATTCGCTGATGACGCGCAGGCTGTCGAGTGCTCGCACCGTCTCATTGCGTGCCCTCACCACGGGTGCGACGCCATCGTGTCAGCCCACGAGCTCCACGCGCACGAACTCTCGGCGTGTCTCGTCTACCGCCACACACAGCAGCTTTTGGACGCCCACCACATCAAGGCGACGCTCTCCGTGTGCTGTCTGGCGTGCGAGGTCGAGGTGTCGCTGCGGCTCCTGGCTGCGCACGTGGCGCTCGAGTGCGCTTTGCGGCAAGTGCCCTGCCCGCACGCGTCGGAGGGCTGCTCCGAGATGCACATTGTGTATCAGGACCTGGAGGTACTCGTCTCTCTTGGGTAAAAATGCGTCGTCTCGAAAGCGGTGTAGCGCCACTTGGCTACAGCGTGCCGCGTCGCCAAGCACAAGGCAGCGGTGCTTGAAGCGTCCAAGACCGTCAACGAGGTGGTCCCCTGCGACTGGTGCAACGAGCCCGTGAAAAAGGTCGGTCGTCCCAGCAATGCAACCAAGCACCGAGACGACGATACTGCATGGTTCGTAGCGTCACCTGACGGACCACAAGGAAGACGCGTGCTTGATGCGCGAGCGGCAGTGTCCCAACTGGCCCGTTCGTCACTATTGAGACAGGGAGTTGAGTCACTTCTTCACTAGCTCGGGTGCCGCGAGTGGGTGCCCGTCGGAGCGTTCGCCGAGCACATAAGCACTGTGTGCATCGTAACGATCGGTCGGCACGAGCTCGCCAAGCTTGGTATACGGTCACCCTCGTAGCTCTAGCTGATCAGGTTGCTAGCGGCGATCAAGGACGGCCCCGCGCAGTGCCGCGAGTGTGGCGACGAAGTGGCTTTGCGCAAGCTGCCGCAGCACACGCGGGTGTCCTGTCCTGCACGTCTCGTTCCCTGTGCCAACGCTATCCACGGCTGCAAAGCGACGCTCAAGTTTCGGGATCGCCATGTACATACGAGGATGATGGAGCCGAGAGAATGACACGAGTAGATCCACGAGGACGTCAACGTGTCGCCCGAGGCGCGGGCCGTGCTTCGCTTTGGCGCGCGACAGGGCTACGTCCGCATCGATGGCGGCGACGACCGCAAGCCGCCGTGGTGCGCCGAGTTCTGGGTCCACCTCTTCTCCAAGGCCGACGATGTGCTGCACTTTATGGCTGACGCACTGCGGTGGCAAGCGACGCTGCGAGAGACGCTTCCACGCCTCGACGGCTGCATTGCCGACGAGAAGGCACTGAAAGAGCAGATCAAGACGGTTGTGCTGCGTAAGAAGCGTACGCATGCATACATCGGTCGCTTGCTCATGCTTCAAGCAGACAATGAAGACAACGGCGAACTGACGCGACTACAGACCCAAGCCCAGCTCGTCGACGAAGGTGTGTCAACGATGGACTTCGAGGTCTGTAGCTTCTCGCAGGCATCTCGGGCTGCAAGTCGATCATCGCCGAGGCCAATGCGCGCATCTTTTCGCTCGTCTCGGACGCCGCGACGCTCGTCCAGTCCATCAACGACATTGCCGAGCGCGCAAGCGTACGTCTCTTGGACTAGCGAGTGCCCAGGCGTGGCGAGACCCGTAGCTCTCGGAACAAGTGCGCGTCCAAGCCCAGCTGCGCCAGCCAACGTGGTCGAAAGCCGACTTGGATTTGTATGGGCACGTCGAGCACTGGCTCGCAGCGCTCAAGAACGCGGCCGCGACGGCCAAAGCCAACGTACGATACGTGGCTATTGTCTTGATATTGGCTTGATACTTTTGTGAAATGGGGTATGGGATTGAGTTGCGATGTAGGAAGCCCCCCATGCCAAGCTCATCAAGAAGCGCCTGCAGCTACTGCAGGCGATCGAAGACCACGAGCGGTCGCGTCCCACCGATGTGCGCGAGAGTGCGCGCTTCTTGAAGCACGCGCGGAAGGAGCTCAGTCGCCTCGACGACAAACTCGCAGCACACGTCGACGTCCCACTGACCCTTGCGCAGGCGCCGATCGGGTTTCATACCATCGCCGCGTCCAAGGCCGCCGGCATCCACGCCGTCGTACGTAGCTGGCTGCAGAACGATGTCGGAGCATTCTTCTTGGCCGTAGATGGTGGCTGGCGCCGGCGTGGGTTTGCATACGTTCGACACGAAAGCGCGCTTCAAGGCCGAGCTCCCGCGGGAGCGCTGGGTGCACATGGCCCTCAACGCCTCCGCGTAACACACGCCATCGCGATGACGCATACATACGTGGCGTTAGAACCTCGGTGCAACTTGTGCTCGATGGCGCCGTCGTCGACGAGCGCCCTGGCACGTTCCACCTCCCGATGGAGACGCTCGGCGCGTCCGAAAAGGCCTTCCGCGGTCATCTGCAGGTCCAACGACAACCAGTCGGCTTGTTTCTATCAATGTGTCAAGTGGGTAAACCATAGGAAGTTCGGTACTGGTCGACGACGCGGACCCCGTCCGAGCTTTTGGCGTCCATGCGAACGACGCTCGCGCTCGCCCCAACGCTCCTAGGTAATGTCTGCCCTGTGTATGCCTGTCGTCATGGCGAAGTAGCATATTGGACGCTCGAAGAAGGCATGGGACCGTTCGTCGAAGACGTGAGCGGCCACTTGCCTCGGTGCGTCGACACATTCATGCGTACTTGGAACACAAAATGGCCTTAGCGTCCCCATCTTCAACACGTCGTGGAGTCACTACACGATGGCAACGCTTCAGCGCCTCGGCGACCCGCCGACGCCGTCGTTCCGGCAACGTCACATGTGCGCGGTCGTCGTGCGGCGCAACTTCCTCGCCAACAAGCACGCGATGCGGCAAGTGTCCCGCGAGTGCAGTCTCGGCTGCGGTCTTCACGGTACACGTCGTGTCTCATACATGCCGTACGATGCACAATATTGTCTCTAGTCGCGCTGCCAGCGATGGACATTCATGTTCGGTGCGAATGCCCCAAGCGCATGGACGTCTGCCGCGCCCCGGGCTGCGGCCGCACGTACAAGGTGTCGCGCGGCCACCGCTGCCGTGTCGCACAACGTCGGGACGACCTCGCTGCCGAGTATGTTCGCAAGCATGAGGTGCGAGCTCTTGTGTTTTGGCGACCGGCAGCGAATGCATGAGTGTAGCTGGTCGAGTGCCCGTTCGGCTGCGGCGAGCTCGTCATTCGCCAAGACGTCGCACGGCATCGCAAGCTCCACTGCTCGTGCCGGTTTGTCCTGTGCCCCAACGACGGCTGTGGCCGGTCGTACATCCAGCGCAACGCCAAGTGGCACGTCGCGCACGACTGCGACGCGCCGCATTTGCTTGCCGAGCGGGCCATGGTGCAGCGGTCGCGGCAGCGCCAGGAAGCGACACCGAGCGCCGCATGCAGCCGGGGTACGCCCTTGTCACCACCTCGGGCGCCGCGACGACCCGTTACCACCACGACAACCTCCGAGGAGAGTCCTCTGCCCCGCCGCGCGTCGACCACCAACGCCACGCTATCCCGTGACATTGCACAGTTGAAACCTTGAAAGTTTTGATGTTGTTTCAACCTACAGTTGCGTCAACGTCCAACTCGATGTAAACGTCGTGTGCGCAGTCCAGTCGGGCAAGAGCTTGGCGGCGGTCGCAAGGTCGGGTGTTGTGCCGTTCAAGTAGTGGCCGCAGTACGCCACGTCGATCGGTCCGTCCGTCGCCACGTCGACCCAGAAATGAAACGACGCCGGCGCGAGGCCCCCAGTGGAGAACTGGAAAAGGTATACATCGTCAATCTGCGATGGGACACCGTCCGTGCCATTGCCGAGCGACCTACGATCGCATGCGGCCATTTGCTTTGTCAGCGGGGATCACGTACCACGATGCGAGTTTGGTGCGGGACGCATCCATGTACATGTTGATCTGGGACGGTCCCGACAAGTGCAAATGCAGCCGACGCAGCCGCGTCATTGGGTCCACGCGCGACGAGACGACCTCGAGCAGCGTCGGCACGGCAAAGACCGGCGCATCCATCGTCGGCAGATACCACGTATTTTTGAGCGGCATGACCGGGGCGACTGGGTACACCCTGGACGACGTCATGATGACATGCTCCATCAGTCGATTGGACGCTACCAGGGAAAGTTGTCGTAGACCACGGGAATCGCTGCATCGTGGACCGGAGCGTGCATGGCCAACGCCCACGGTGTCGTGCCAAACGCCGCTCGGAGCGGGTCGAGGCCTTGAAAATCAAAGCCGAGGACCCAGAGCCCGGCGTCGTTGGCGTCCGGGCGCTGCGTAAAGTTGCGGTGAATGTGCTGCACGATGATGCGCTTCGGGCACTCGGTCGAGTACGGGTTGCTACGGGCGTCATCACAGTCGTGTCCAGCGACAAGCGAATCGTACCTGACACACGCCACAAAGATGCACAGCAGCGTGAGCGCAATGGCCGACGTCTTGGCGTGCGCCGCGTGCAGTGGGCGCACAAAGCAGAGCACGGGCGTGAGCGCCGAGAGCGTCAAGAGCGAGAGGAGCGCCATGAGCAGCGCAACCACAAGGTCCGACGGCAGCGACGTGCCGGCGCGCCCCATGATCGGGATAAACACCTGCAGGGCAACAATGTAAATCTGCACCGAGTGCAAAAGCGGCACAGCAATGCCGGCAAGCAGCAAGCCTGCGTGGACGCCTACACCGTGCTCCATAACCCACTGCCACCATCTATCACAAGCAAGAACAACGTACGGGGCGAGTACCCCGTCGGCAGCGACTGCGCGACAACTTGAGCCGCAAGGGGGCACATCACCTACCGCAGACAGAGTCCTTCTATCCGCCGGCAGCATCATCGCGTCGACGGCAACGTACCCAGGCCATGACGAGGTAGAGGCTTTGGATGCCGCGGGCAAACATGGGCAGCGCCATCACAAGAAGCCACATGAGGCTCTGCGCTTCGACAAGCGGCTGGACCAGCGAGCGCAGGGCCACCTACGCTTCTCGCTTGTACAGCTTGCGCAAGGGTATATCGTGTCTACCGCGTCGTCCGTGGGCAGCTGGTGCAGAAAGCCCGCTGCGACCGGAAACACAAAGACCCAGAGCCGTGTCGTGGGCGACGCGAACCAGCTCATGGGCGCGTAGGCGCAGAGCACAAGCGCGACGAGGAGGCCCGTGCCAAGACCCGCAAGCGAGAGGCGCACCAAGAGGCGCACCGCATCTAGCTTCTCGCGCCACGTAATGCGCGAAACGAGGCCGACGTACAGCAGCATGCAGAGCGCGAGGGCTGCGTGGATGAACGTGCTCACTTCTGTCGAGAGCGTCAGCGTTCGGTAGCCAAAGACGTCGAAGAAAATGTGCCCGCCCAACGACGACTGCGCGCCCAGGGACCGCAGCGTTGCTGGCGACGCAAAGAGCTGCGCGATCGTGCCCTGGACGTTCTCGCCAAAGCGCTGGATCGCGCCGAGTTGGATGCGCGAAATGTCGTCGAGCGGCGTGTGGTACACGTAGCCATTGGCCACGTACGCAAAGTCCATGCCGGGCACATCGCCGTACTCCGTGTACGTGCGGTAGTCGGTCTCGCCCGGGATCACGCCCGACTAGACCATGCGTGTGTTGAACTAACTAAGAGATGACTTATGTAGTACCTGAAAGACTTCTTGGGCAATGGTGCTCGCGTGCGGGTACGGGGCGCCGTGCGCATACGCCATCGCCAGGACGTCGCTACCAGTCTGGAAGAGCAGCTCGCGCCCGCCGGCGCCCGCCGCTTCGAGGTTGAGGAACGCAGCCACCGACGCACGCCACGGATGCTGCGTGATAAAGCCATGGGACGCTTGAAGGAACGTCTCTTCGGCGCCGTTAAAGTTGAAGACGAGCGCCGTTGCTGTCGGTGGGCGCGCAACTGCGTTCTGGAGCAGCTCGAGCATGATGGCAATGTTGACGCCGTCGTCGGACGCGGCCGCGGCGCCGATCGCTGCGTCGTAGTGCGACGAGAGGAGGAGGCTCGGCGGCGACGCCTCGGGCGACGCCGAGAGGCGCACGAGCACGTTGGTCACGTTGGCGTAAATGTTTTGAAATTGCGCAAGAAAATTGAGGCCAAACGCACCCTCGGGCTTTTGCACCTGCGTCCACGTCGTACGATGAGACGCAAGATACAAGACGACGTACCTCGATCTCCATGTTGCACGGCGAGTGGCACTGCGCCTGGAAGGCTTCGAGGTGGCGCAAGAGCCACGCAGGCGTCGCGACCTCGTTCGCAACACTGCCGAGCGTCCGGTACCCGCCCTCGATGGCCTGGAGCTCCTCGAGAAAGCGGCGGGCGCGCTCCTCTGAAAACTCGGTCAGCGGAATCGACGCGTCCTTGGGCGACGGCAGCCACGTGTGTCGCCAAAACACAAAGCCGTAGAGCAGGCAGAGCCAGGCAACGATGGCCCACGCACTGAGAAAGTACGCGCGTACGGGCTTGACGGCGTCGTCGTTAGGACGGTCGACGGCGTCGGCCAGCGGGCGCGTCGGTGGCTGCTGTTTGCGCTGGTGCATCGCTGCTGCGAAATGGCCGCAATCTTCCGCCACCGGAATCGTCCGGTTACGCACCGGGATTCGGCGGATTCGGCACGCCCGCGCGTTGGCAATCACGATGACGATGACGTCGGACGGAGGCGACGCCACGCACGGGGCGACGGCAGGATGCTATAGCGATGTGAGCGTACTACACTAATACCGGCGGCACGCTATTTGCACCTTGCATCCGACAGCGCAGCTTCAACATGGCTGCGCAACCAGTCTGTACTGGTAGCAGCGACGCGACTGCTGTATTCGCTGCCAACAGCTCCTATTCGCTGCCAACGGCTCATACAAGCTGGTCTGCGGAGCTACTTGCGGTGCCACGGCCGTCGTGACCAGGTTCCAACGGCCACGCGCGTCGATTCGAGGTCGGACATGATGGGTGACTTTCAAAGGCGCATCCGCAATTTGCCACGAGCGTGTCCAGAATCATCAGAAGATGACGCAGGTAGCGCGATCCGAGGGCTTCCTTCAACGATCGAGACGCTTGCCGCGCTTATCCCCCGCGGCCGTCGACGACCTTTTGGGCGATGACGATCCGCTTGCAGCACTTTCTCAGGTTGCACCGCGAACGTCCTCCCAGGCAATACCGTCGCTAGCGCCTTGGCTGGCGGCCGACGCTTGCTCGCTTCCTGCGACCTGCAGGCGCTTTGGTGGCGCCGCGTCGCATGGGCGGTGAACCGGTTACGAACCGTGTCCAAGTTGCAGTTTTAACCAGCTGGGTGGGTTGCTGCACCGGGGCGCCTTTTTAAAAAGACAGAGTTCTTTTTTATTATCTTGATGTTTGTATGTGACGACACTGTTGCGTCAACAGGTTGCCCAACGTTCGTGGCGCTTCGTTTTTTATCGTGTTTGAAACACGTGAGTGGCAATGTTTAAAACCGTTTGGACCGGACCCGGTGGGTTTTTCTGTTTAAAACACCCACGTGGCTTCATAAAAAGGGGGCGGTGCGATCGAGTGGCGGCCGAGTTGGTTTAAAACGCGATCTGCTTTGCGATCTCGAAGTTTCCTCGTCATTTTGCACTTGGCATCCTTCCACCCACATCTCTACCTCGTACGTCCATTGCCCGTCGATGCCCATGGCTCATGCACCTGTAGCATCATGGTCCATATTGAACGCAAGGGCGACGGCGCCTCGTTTGGCGCTGGCCAGGCCGCGGCCCGTATCCTCGGCTCGACGGCGTCGGGCGTGCTCGAGCTCGCGCTCTTCCACCCGGTTGACACGGTCGCCAAGCGCCTCATGACCAACAAGAACAACGCTTTGAGCTTGTCCGAGGTCATCTTCCGCGACGCGCACACCAAGCCGGCCGTGACCAAGTACAAGTCGCTCTTCCCCGGCGTCGGCTTTGCCGCCGGCTACAAGGTCACCCAGCGCATGTACAAGTTTGGCGGCCAGCCCGTCGTGAAGGACTACATGACCAAGAACCACCAGGGCCTCTTCTCGCAGCTCTTTGGCGAGCGCAACGCCAAGACGATGATGCACGCGACTGCTGGTTCGCTCATTGGCATTGGTGAAATCGCGCTCCTCCCGCTCGATGTGCTCAAGATCCGCGCCCAGACCAACCCGGACGCGATCGCGGGCCGTGGCGTCGTCACCATCTTCAAGACCGAGGGCCTTGCCTTGTGGCGTGGTGGTGCGTGGACGGCCGCGCGTAACGCGCCCGGCTCGTTTGCGCTTTTCGGTGGCTCGGCTGCGTGCAAGGAGTACCTCTTCAAGCTCGAAGACTACAGCGACGCGACGTTCTGGCAGAACTTTGTGGCCTCCATCTCGGGTGCGAGCGCCAGTATCATTGTCGCCCAGCCGCTCGACGTCATCAAGACGCGCATCCAGTCGCGCCCGTTCGACTCGCCCGAGTCGGGCATGCAGGTCATCTCGAACCTCCTCAAGCACGAGGGCCCCGGCGCGCTCTTCAAGGGCCTCCTCCCCAAGCTCGGCGTGGTCGGCCCCAAGCTCGTCTTTTCGTTCTCGGTCGCGCAGTCGCTGATCGCCTACTTTGAAAAGGCCTTTGCGTAAGCAGTTGATGTAGAAGATATAACTAGACGAATTATACAAGAAGGATGGCGCCGTGGCGTCCAAGCACTCGATGTCAACGTTCGCACGAGTTGCAGCTTGAAGCAAGACCGAAACTTCACCTTGCTCCTGGATACGGTTCAAGCAGCTGGTAAATTTCGTGTCGGACCGGTTCGCGTCGCTCAGATCCAACCGGTTGGTTTTGTCGGGTCAACTGCGAGGTCGTTGCGTCGACAACCTCAGTCCCGACTCGTGCGCTCCAGGGCCGAGAGGCTGCAGGCCCAACGTCGTTGGTCCTTTGCAGCTCGGTCGTGCTTGGCTGCCAGGCTGCTAAAGGAGGCTCGAGTCACTGGCGTCCACTCGTTCACATTGCCACAGTAGTACATCATTTCTGACGACCGCAGTGATGGACATGAAACCACCGTCAACTCGTGCAACCTCTATCTCATGATTTTTGAGAAATGGAACGACCTGCGCGTGTGCTTCTCGCAGCACCGCCAAGAAGGTCAACCGACCGTTATTCTGCACCGCATCGCTCGCCCGCACTTCATGTATCGCCGTTTTACGTGTAGTTTACCCCGGAGTTTACCCTTTGCACGTAAAATGGCAGTGTACCCCCGCTCAACCCCATGCTGGCTGGTGAATGCAGGGTCACCAGAGGACGAAAGGTCAGAGATGCAGTCATGCAAAACGTAAAAGTCGTTTCTATCAACAACGAGGCGGCACTGATTAGTCGGTGGACAAGCACGAATCCCTGCCTACTACATCTACGAGGTGGTCGTTCCGATGGGATCTTGGGCCGACTGCACGACGCTGGCGAAAGCAATTACTAGTATCCTGCACGGCGCAAGGTATCTTCATCCTCGCTCCAGCATACAACGTAATAGTCCATGCACGTTCTGCCACGCGGGTGATGCTGTGTGTATGTGCCAATGTGCGATGCGCTCGCGCCAGTGTTGCGTGTACAGCTTTGTCATTTCATTGTCGGAGTGGAGGGACACGGATATGAAAGAATGTCTATTGTACAATATACGACATCGAGGACGGACGCTTTAGGCCGCGTAGCCCTTGAGCATGTTGAACATGCGCGACATGGGCGCAGGCACAGACGCGAACGTTGAATGGTGCGTGGGGCTACACGACCCGGTGTGAAGTTCCGATTTCCCAGTGACACGATCGCACCCATCGATTAGTTGCAGCACCTTGCCCCAGCTCGCCTGCTCTTGCATCGCCGACATCTTGTGCTCCTCGTCCGAGCTAATCACGCGTGAGCGTCGACAGCCGCCTCCCGGAATCTGTACCGGTTCTGGAGCAAACGTGCTTGCCGCGCTTGCTTGCGGGTGGCGTAAAATGCAGCAAGCTCCTGGTCGATTCAGAGTCAGAGGACCACGTGTGTGGCGACATACCTTGGCGGCTCGGGCGCTGTCACGCATCTTGATCGCTGCATCCTGCTCTGGCATCGTCAGCGTCGCCCGTGCCATCTCTGCGGCACTCGAAGCTTCAGTCGCCGGTGTTGGGACGTTCACATCATGGAGCCGCATCGCCACGGAGCGAGCGCGCTCAAGGGCCGTCAGTGTGACCGACGTCACATCCTGGGAGCGCACACGTTGGGGTTCTGCGCAGTGCTGTGGGGTATCCACGTCGTGTCGCGCCATACGATCTTGCTCGCGGTTGGTCGCCGCCACATTGACGTCGTGCTTTGCCATCGCTGCCATCTCGGTGCAGTCTGTCTTGACGTTAACGTCGTGCTTCGCCATGGTCTCTTGCTCCGTCTGGGGCGCGGCCAAGTCGTGAGCTTCCATACCAGCACACTCGATCCGTGTCGTCACAGCCGAGCGCAAGCCTTGGACGAGGTACTCGTGCACGGCGGCGGATGCGACGGTCTTGGCGACAACCGGCTCGACCTTGCGGTAGCGAATGTACATGGCTGGCACCGGCGCGGACACGCGTTGCAAGGCGGCTTCGATCCACTCGGACGAGTAGCGCGCAGCGAGCGAGGACAGAGGCGGCAAAGACTCGTCCGTATGAGCCAGCGACGAGACCATGGCGCGGGCGTTGACATCTTCAGCTTGCATGCACGCCAGCTCGTGCAGGCGGCGGGCAGAAGGCGCACCGACGTCGACAAACTCATGCAAATCTGATGCGCTGATTTCGTGGAAAGAGCCTTCGCGGGACATTTCAATGATCTCGAACGAGCTCTCGCGCGACCGTCGCATGGATGCAAACGAGCTATAAGGGCGTCGTTAAAGCATGGTCACGGCAGTTGGGTACGTACCGCTCCGAGCCGTGGGAGGGAAGCCGCGTGAGCTGCTGCTGCGCCGAACGCAGCAGCGTGTCTTGAAGAGAAAGGCTTGCGCTTTGGTACATGGCGTTGGTCGCGCGTGTTTGCTTGGCTTGCTCCAGCTCGTCGCGTCGCTGTTGCCGCTCCTTCTCGAGCATTTGCTCGACCGTCTCGATCGAGCTAGGGGGCATGATCGCCTGCGCGGTGCTGACTGACGACGTACCTTGAGGCGCCGCTGAACTGACGCACGAGGGACTTGACAAAGGACATGCTTGCGCAGGTTACGATAGGCGACGCGGGTCGGATGCAGCTCTGACCGCTTTGGGCACGCGCCGACCGAAGACGAGAATTCGCATCCTATACCAGCTTCAACTATACTCTGACGTATCCGGATGCCTGCCGACCGCACAGGCTGTTTGTATTGCGTGCGGCGTGCACTTATCCGGATGACAAATAGAAAAGGCGGCAGCGATGACGTGGACGCTCGAGCGTGCGCGGCATAGACCTGCGCTGGCCATCATCACCCACTTGGAAGCGGCGGGGCTGTTCCAACACAAGTATGTACAAATGAGGTTGTGCAAATTGGGGTGCCTTGCGTCCAAGGACCTGCAGTCTGTCCTTGTCCGGGGACGTCGACAGCTATTTCGAGACGAAGATCCAGCTGCGCATATCGTTGGCTTTGGTCGCTTGCGACGGCGAGTGTTGCTGAAGAGTGTACTCCCTAGTCAGCCCATCAAGCCATTTAGCTGCATGGACCCGCGAACCAGCGCGAACTTTTCGCTAGACGATGCCAGGCAAATGTGAAGCTGGATTGGTTCAAAGAGCACTTCTGACGGACTCTGATTGGGCCACGCGTGACCTGGGCTTGCCCAATCGGATGCAACGTGGGTGGAAAGGCAGGTCAGCTGGCGGGTGCACTTGGCTGTTCAAGCTGTTCATGAATCCGATCTTCGACCGACAACGTTGAACTCTTATCGTCGGGTGTCGTCCAACGCCGATCCACACCGCACCCGTCTCTGCGCACTCCTTTTCGATTCCATTCACGTTGGCTGTGGGGACATGGCGAGAAGAAGGTGTGATCCATCGAAGTAGCTCCGAGTGGCTTCATCTGAACCGCAAGAAAAGCTCGTTGAAGTGAGCTACGCACGCAATTGCTGCGACTTGCACACTGATTGTGCACGGCCTGCGATCCATGTGGTGCTTCTCTGATCGCTCGCTGCGCAACCGCAACGACGCCAGCCCTACAGTGTACGCGTTGGCCACACTCCTTGTGCATCTTGATGCATTACTTTTTCGCCCAGGTCAACCATGGCCGAGTGACGCCAGATAAATAGCTCGTTGTGCGAATCTCAGACTCAGTTTTGACTGGAGGGGGATGGGTCTCAGGCCACCCAGCGCCAATCGCTGTAAGAAGACACAGGAGGCTCCATGCACCAAAGTGATCGTGTTAATCCTGCGTGTCCGTGCCCTCGTCTGTCTTTGCGTCGTGTGTCTGCGCAACGTTGGCGTCAATGTTGGCGGCCTCGCTCAGGCCCACCGTCGTTACCTCCATGTACGAGGCCATGCTCTCAAAGGGCTTGAAATGACCCCACGCGCTGCTCGGCTCTGTCGGCGGCTTGGCGGCGACGGTGCTGAGGCGGCGCCACAGCGTGGAGGTGCGTCGTTGCTTGGCAATTGGTGTCTGATTGGCTGAAAAGGGCTCGCGTCTCGCATCTCGATTGGCGGAGCGTGCCGAAAGCGACATGAAGTCAATGGCACACCATGTGGCAGCGGTTGACTTGGGCTTTGTATAGTCTGTCGACACGTCGTGTTGAAAACGCCCTGCAAAAGACAGAGTGGGAGAGCAGCTGCGCGGTATTTTTTTGGAAAAGTATACAAACACCAAGGTATCCATGCATAAAAATGGGCCGGCGGGTAGAAGCCGTGCCAATGAACACCCCATACAAACGGCAAGTAATTTTTGGACAGGCGCGTGGCCGGTACCACGTTCGCCATACAAATTCCAAGACAAAAGCTGAGTGGGCCGCTGGAAATTTAAAAAAAGAAGAGCTTATTTGCCTCTTGTGCGTCAAGGGCCGAGACGCCATCGAGCCGATCAGGTCCATCGCCGACGCAGGAAGAGGCGCTCATGAAGACGATGCGTGTAGATACACACATGGAGGACGTAGAGACAGCGAGTAGCGGTCATACGCAGCGCCCGCGTGGCGGCAGCCTCTCGCGCTACATGGACGGCCGGAGTGAGCGCAACCGAAGAAACAGCAGCAGCAGCTGCAGCTCCGAGCACGAGAACGACACGCCCAACGAGTACCAGTCCGAGATCATGGGCATCATCGCCATGGAAGACAAGGCCAAGGCCATTGACCGGCTCTTGAATCTCGAAGTCGAGATGATCTTCGACGGCCTAGAAGAGTCGGAGAGCGGCCTCCGCAACTGGCTGCTGCAGTACGACGTCGTCAAGGAGGTGCTTCTCGTCTTCTCGACGCCCGTCGTCTTTCCGGCCGCGCCCAAGTTATTTGCACAAAAGGTGTTCGACGACATGGAGAACGGCAACAACGGCGCCGGTACGCGAGCGATCGCCGATAAGATCTCATGCATGGCTCGTGTAGAAGACCAGACATACTCGCTCCCGACGTCTGAAGAAACCACATCGGGCGAAGATCCCGTCGCCGAGACCAACTCGGGCGAAGCCACATCCGACGAGCCGCCACCCGGTCTTCTCGCACCGCCCACACCGCGCGTGCTCGCGCCCAAGCCCACGACTGTCATGCCCAACTTCAAGGTCGATGAAGAGTATGGATACTACAAGCGCACGTTTGTGTGCTCCGAGATCATCATGCGCGTCTACACGGGCGACGAAGACTTGTACGAGTCGTTCCGCATGTCGTCGTCGTCGTCGGGCTCGGCGAGCGAGGAGCTCACGTTTGGCTGCCAAACGCTCGAGGAGCTCGAGCTCTGGCGACTCTTTTTCGTCTACTTCTCGGCCAACTCGACGATCGACGAAGTGCAAGCGGCCTTCTACTGCAAGGCGTTCATTCGCCTCCACGACGCCTACTGCCTCGAAGACGGCTACGTCCAAGTCGTGCTCGAGCCGTACATGCCGGCGCTCCTCAAGCACATTTACCTCCCGACGATCAAGCACCTTCTGCTCAAATTGCTGCAGTCGTACGAGAGCATCCACCCGCTCACGGGTGTGCACGACGCGATGGAGGCCGTCGCGCCGATGCTCGTGCAGGCGCTCAAGACGCCGATCGCGCTCTCGTCGCCGTTGCTTGCGAACGACATTGCTGCCCGCGAGAACGTGTGCCGCCTCATGATGGAGATGCTCCAGGCCAACCAAGCCGACCGCCTTGGCTCGTTCCTGCGCCGCGAAGACAACCAGTTCCTTGCCAAGTACTTTGTCGTACGCTCCTCTCTTCAACTTGCGCAGGGTCTCTGATGTTTGGTTCTTAGCGCGATCAATTTGGCACGATCCGGGGCATCGAAGCCGTGACCGAAGGCTACCACAACTTTCTCCAGTTCATGCTGCTCGAGGAGCTCGGCAAGGACGTGCAGGCCAACGGCGGCTCCATGCTCGAGACGATGTTCCAGGCGTCGTACGACCAGCTCCAGGACATGCGGTCGTGGCCCGCGTCGCTCACCGCGCCTTGCGGTACTCATATTGCTGCTAAAGCAAATGACTCACCCTTGCTGGCTAGTGCTCAACATTCACGTGACATCGGAGCTCGTCCGCATCTACTGCCGCAACTGGCGCGCGTACGAGACGAAGAAGCGGTCCGAGCAGCCACCGGCCGCCGACGTCGACGTCGACGACGAGGAGGAGACGTCCACGACGTCGTCGTCATCCCGCAGCTCGTCGCCCAACCCGAACGCGTCGGTCATGTACGAGCTGAGCGGGCTCAAGTCGGCGGACGGTCTCTGGCCCAAGCTGCGCCAGCTCACGCGCTCGTGCGCGCCGCACTACGTGACGCTCTTCCAGCACAAGGACTTTGCGCTCCCGACGTCGGTCGATGTCGGCCTCGCCAAGCTCCTCTATCGGTGGGAACTTGTGCCGCTTTCGCCACCAGTTCTGACGAGATATCTGTAGGTTGATCACGGCCCAAGACCCCGACATCGACGCGGCCTTGGCGGCTGGCAACCTCGTGCCCAAGTACGTGCAGCTGCTGCAAGACAAGCCGCAGGCCGACATGCTCTTGATCCACGTCGTGTCGGCGCTCCTCTACCTCATCACCGACAAGTCGCGGTGCCGATCCGCTACGTGCTCCCTCATTGGGAGCATGTTTTCGCTCAACCTCCTGGACGTCATCGTGCACGTCTTCAACGACCATGTGGCGAGCAAGCCGTACTTCAAGGTGCTCAATGATGCGATGCTCGTCATGTCGACAAGGTAGTCCATCTGGATACCAAATGGTCTATTCCAATGCGACAACTGTCTAGCGAGCACCCGTCGCCGTCGCAGCGCCGTATCGTGGAGCACAGCAACAAGCACGCAGCGTGGCAAGCCCTCAACAGCGAGTCCAAGCGCCGATTGGGCCTGCGCTCGCAGCCGCCGGCCGAGTCGGTGCACGAGCCGTCCGAGAAGGCGGAGAGCGACGTCTCGCCCGACGAAGCCCGCGATGTTGTGGCGTACGACGAGGACGACGACGAGGTCAAGACCGACCTCAAGGAAACCCCCGGTGACGACGAAGGGCCGTTGACGCCATTGCCCGAAGCCCCGGCCGAGCCCGAGCCGCCAACCGCCGAAGAGCCGCCGAAGCGCACGCGCCGGCTCTCGATTCCCAAGTCGGCTGGGTACCTCAAGAACGTGCTCTCGTCGCCGGCAGCGTCCGTCATGCGCAACGTTGGCGCGCTCAACGCCCGCCGGTCGTTCACGGCCCGCGTGAGCACGCCGACCGAGACGTCGGCGACGCCCAACCCGTCGACCAAGCCCAACATCAGTCATGGTACAACCCCACCACCTTCAACCGGGCGCCTCTCACGCGTCGTAGGCGCCGCATCCCAGCTCTTGGGCTTTGGCACGTCGGTGCTGAGCAAGTTCAAGTCGCGCATGGTGACGACGTCGCCGCCGCCGTCGTCGTCTCCAGCGTCGCCGGGCAGCCTCACGTACAAGCGTTCGCTTACGTCGCCGTTCTCGCGCAAGCCGTACGAAGCGTCGGCGCACGCGTCCTTGCTGGTCCTGGACACGTCGCTCGGCGACGATGTGACCAAGTGCGCCGTCTATGACGGCGGCGTCACGGTCGCGACCAAAGACGAATGCGTCGTCGTGACGAGCGGGTACATGTTCAAGAGCGGCATGCCGGATGTGGGCAAGCGCCACGTCTGGGAGCGCTACTACTTTGTGCTCGAGCGTGGCGGCGGGCTCTCGACGCTGAGCTACTACGTGTCCGAGTCGCAGGCCAAGCACCGGACGCTCGTAAAGGGCGTCGTCGTGCCCACGAGCGTCTGCGAAGGCATCCCGATTCGCGTTGCCGGCAAGCACGAAGTCCACGCGTTCCAGTTCAACACGCAAGGCCACGGAGTCTTCTGGGTCCTCGTCGACTCGGAAGCGACCAAGATCACGTGGCTTCAAGAGCTGCTCATGGCCATCACGGGCATTCCGTTCTCGCCCAAGTCGGCCAACGCTGTACGTCGCATGTCGTGTATTGTCCAGTGGATAGATTGAAACTCTGGCTAGATTCTGTTTCCCTCGAACGCGCAAAAGAAGCTGTCGACCAAGCAAATGAAGGCGATCGTAGCGTCCTTGTACGCGCACCTGTTTTCGGACGACCTCGAGTTTTCCACGCAAGCCGTGCGCCCGGGTCTCCCGACGCCGGACGCCATCTCAACGGTAGATGCAGTCGTCGTGACGGTGGAGGCTTGACGTTGAGCACGGTAGAGCGTCCACGGGTCGGTCGTGCTGAGCTCCAACCTCCCGTCGAGCGTGCCGTACTGGGGCGAGTACCACGGTCTCCAGGGCCTCTGCCAGTTTTGGAAGCTACGGGACGAGACGGTCGAGCGGCTAAAGGGCCGCGTCCTTCGCATGGTTGCGGACGAAGACGAGAGTACGGTCGTTGTCATGACGTCATCGACGATGCGCATCGTGCACAACGCCGAGGTCGTTGTCGAAGAGTCGTGCGACATCATCGAGCTCAACGAGGGCCTTATCACGTCGATCCACCTCAACTTTGACTCGGCGCAGCTCGCGACGTCCTTCCTCAAGTACTCTTCCTTGTCGTCACGCATGAATCTCACCACGTGTGTCTCTAGGGCGGGCTTGGACGGCTCATAGATATCAACTTAGGGCAGTTTGGCTGCAATCTCATATGTATTAGTGCGTCAGCTTGTGTCGCAACGTTGGGAGACACCGGCGCGGGTCCTTGTCGTGGTGCATCGCTACCGTACGCTTAGCCTTCGGCCAAGACAGTACGTGCTATGCGTACCTGTGCTACGAGGCAATGGGGCCAGCGCCTTATGCAACGGGTGCGTCCGCACCCGGAACGAGAGCCGCCGGGTCGACGTCGTGGACGGTAGCCGAGCACGCGGCTCGACCTTGGGCGGTGGCACACTGGCTGGCCGCGTGGCAACGGCGTGGTCGGTGCAAAGAAGGTGGTGCGTCGGCGTGAACATGGCCGACGTCAAGAAGGGTCGGTGGTCGTCGTCTTGGTTGCTGACGACGGTGCACAGCGGCGTGATGGGTGGTGGTACATAGACGGGCGTCGCGCCGACCGTGATTTCCGGCAGCATCTTTGGCAACGGGTGCGAGAACAGCTCGTGCAGTGCCGTCGTCGAGCGTGGAACGAGGAGTGGGATCACGACGGTCTTGGTCGTGGCCTTGATCGACTTGACGCAGCGTGGGGCGGCCTACATCTTTCGCGTGGAGGACGAGGATGGGAAGGTGCAGGATAGACTACCGTGCGCGTGCATACAGGCGGTGGCGGCTCGATCTGCCTATCATGAAGGCGAGCCCAAGCTCCGATGCGTACCGAGAGCGACGACGCTGTGCAGTCGCTGCCTGTGGGGCTGGACGCGATCGTCCAACGCAGCTTGTGCGCTTTGCTCGGGATGCACTGCGCGGCGCGGCTACCAAGCGTGAGGGTCGATCAAGCGTCCGACATATCACCTGTCGAGGACGAGCGTCGAAGGTTCTTCAGGGATGCGCTGCATGCACGCGGGCGACGGTGACACGCGCGCCGAGAGATGGACCATCTCCCACATGTCCCGCGCCACGCGCGTGGCGGCGTGCCGGACCTAGTCGCAGGTGCAGCGTGTAAGGCGGTGGGCAGTCGTGCTACCACGCGCGTCGCCTCGACCGAGCGCAAGACGTCGTCGACGATCGCCAATGCAATGTCGTCCGTCATGCAGAAAAGTCGTTTCAAGACGCAAAATGACAAAACGGCAAAATGGGATGGTTAGATCTTAGGCTCGACGCGGATGCGGAGGTCCGTATGGCAAAGCCCGTGGCCGCGCGTGTGGACCGTGATTGCGCGGACGAGCTGCTTCCGGAGCAGCGGCACGATGAGCGTGAGGAAGCCGTCGCGGACCTCGGGCGGGAGCCGCGGGAGCTCGATCGCGGGTGGGATCGGCTGCAACCGAAACTCGCGGTTCTCGTCAGCCACGTCGACAAGCCACGCGAGCAGCGACGACGCCTTGGTCGGGTTCTGCGTCCACTGCGAGAGGACGTACGCGACCTCGGGCGACTGCAGCGAAAAGTGTGGCGTCGGGAAGCTAGCAACGCGACGATGGATCACTGTGCTCGCATGTGATTCGTACCGTGTGGTTTCTTCCATCCACTCGTGACGTGGCTCTTCTGGAAGAGGCTCGGGCGGCCGGTCGATGACCAGCCGCAGCTCGGCCACTTGGTCTTCAAGCGCGTCAATCTGCTGGACGTAGTCGTCAATGGCCTCGTCCTTGGCCGCCACCGCGCGGCGCAGCAATGTGATCTCATCTTGTTGACGCGCGCACTAGGTATGACGCTATGCTAGCCCAATCGCGCCGTGAAGGTTCTCAGCTATCGTACGTACCTGGGCCTCAAGCTCACTCGCGTGGCGTTGGACGGAAAGATACCGTGCGTCCGTCAGCGCATCGTCTGGTTCTGCTGCCACGTGGCGGGCGGCCCGGAGCCGCTCGGCGAGGCGCCGCAAATCACGCTTCTCTGCCTGGAGGTGCAAGATGAGCTCGTCGCGCGCGAGGGCTTCGGCGCAGAGCTCGGCGACGCGCTCCTCGAGGGCGGCCACGACGCCGTCTTGCACCGACGCTGCCATGTGCTTCTCAGACTCGATACGACAACGGTAAAACCTGCGCAACTTGATTTTCCTTCGACCTGATCTCTGCAGGTCGCCGGTCCGTCGACAGCCAGGCGACGATGGTGACGTCGTTGCCTGCCACCTGCTCGTCGCCCCGTGCACGTACCCTGCGCACCGACGCATGGCGGCGCCTCGGCGCGGCCTGGTCTTGACGCCGTGTCACGGTGATCAAGATCGCCAATCTGTTCGACATTGAAGTTTCTGAGATGGATACCGCAGAGGCAAGAAAGAACGGACGACGCACCTGTGCTCCCAAGTCCAAGCAGCCTCTGCCTCTCGACGTAGCAAAGCGCGTACGTCCCACTACCTATATCGACTAGCGACGTTGCTGGTCGTGCACTGTACGCGTCCTCTCGCGACCTTCTTTCTTTAGTTAGTCGAGATGTACTACGTTTCGATTTGATGTTTGTATACTGACGGCAACGCGGCGAGAGGCCGGGACACATGGTCGTGCAAGCTACTCGCGTAATATAAAACGCATTTCGGTGTATTTTTAACGGGGGCGTTTTGCGTTTTGCATTGTATTTTAATATATTTTAATACCGTGTCCGATGCCGACACATACACTTTGTATGTACATGGGCACCGCGTGCATTAAAATGAAATATAATAAAATAGAGAGGACAGCGGCCGTGCCAATACTATATCAATTTATTGCAACGACGAGACCGTCGAAATCTTTCCGAGAGCATTTGGCGATTTGGCCGACGAGATCCATCCGACAAGACGCAACGCAGGAAGAGCAGCAGTAGCAGCCGCAGCATGAGCCAGATCTTCGTCGTCGACAACCTGCCCGTGGCGGCGGCGACGCACAAGCTGGCGCAGTTCAAGGCCGCGCAGAACGTAATGGCCATCGCGCTGCGTGTCCATGGCTCATCCTCGTCGTGCCATGTAGCTAAAGATTGAGATCGACCTCGTGCGCGACGACGACTCGTCGGACCTAACGACGCCCAGCGCAGGTCAGACGCCAATGGGCACGGGTGCGGCCACATGCGAGAGAGAGCGTGTATAACGGGCGAGGTAGAGATGGAGAAGAAGAAGCGCCGTCGACGCACGGCAGCGCAAATCGACCGCAAATGGACGTGCACGTACTCGGGGTGCTGCAAGGCGTACGGCTCGGAGGGCAGTCTCACGCAACACATGCGGCTAAAGCACCGGAACCTGAGCCTCGCGCAACGCGAACGAGGTACATGCAGGAGCCACAAGGCCATCGTCGTAACGGCGCACGTAGCCAATTTGGTCAATCTCTCGGCCGTCTACTACACGACGGCCGCCAACAACATTGCGATTCGCCCTGCGCTCAACTTTGGGATCGAGAGTGGTCCGTTCTTGTCGCAGCTGACGCCACCCGGGATCGATTCGATCGGGTTCCTCACGAGCCCGGAACATGGCGGTACAGGCCACATAGACTCATCGACCTCGAGAGACGACGACTCATACTGCCCGCGTAGCGCTCTCGTCATCGTCCGACTCGCCGCAAAAGCAGCTCCGGTCGCGGTCCAACTCGATGCCGATCTCGTCTGGTGCGTCGCTTGCTAATCGCGTTCACGCGCTCTACGCGCTCTACTAATGCCACGAGTAGAGTACGACTGCATGACGCCGATGCGTCAAGCAGGCTACCGGCGGCGCACGACGAGCACGACGACGCCGACCAGCAGTCGCGGTGCGCGCCACAAGACCACGACGCCCCGCAACCTCCCGCGCACCAATGTGGTCCGGAAGAAGCGGTCGCAGTCCATGTCGAGCACAACACCGCCGTCGTCGTCGTCGTCGGTGCCACCGATGCTCGGTACGCGCCTGAGCGATTCGAACCTCTCGTCGACGATCGAGGGGCTCTCGCTGTCACCTTCGTACACGTACTTTCAGGCCGCAAGCCCACATGTCGCACCACGCCAGCCCCTTGTCGTACGCCTGAAGCATCAGATGAGCGTCTTATGATATTGCGTGGTAGTACCCGATGCTGGATGCCAACTACGTCTCCATGTACTCGCCCATGTACCCGACCAAGAGCCAGCAGGACGCGGGGCCGTACAGCCTCCTCAACACACTCGACTGGCACAATGCGTCAGCGTCCAAGACCAACCGTCTCGACGACCCGCAGCAGCCCAACGATTTGTGCGTCAAGATGGAGCGTGACGCGACCATGGGCGACAACCAACGCACCCATGATGCTGACGACGACGACGCGATGGTGCTGCAGGCACTGGCCGACTACGAGTCGTCGCCGTGCTCGCCGCCGACGTCACCGGCGCGCACGCTGACGCCGGACAGCGACGACCTCGGCACGATGCCGATTCCGTTCAAACCCATTGTGGAGCCGTGGGCGCCGTCGTCGTTTCCCGAGTTTTTCCTACCCGAAGACTTTTCGCCGTTTGAGACGCTGCCGGAAAGCGTACCCGAGCCGTCGCCCGAGCTCCTTACGATGGCCGACGCGCGCTACTAGCACTGATCGCGATTCGTCCCTGTTTCTCCTACCGTGTATGTATCTGATCACGTTATCTCTGTTTGACTAATTTCTATCAACAATTATATATAAACCGTAATTCATGTAAACGCTTCAATTGTGGTCTCCTCGTCCGCTGTACAAATGGTTGCAGCCAAAGCGGGTTAGGGCAGGACAAGTACCTGGTGCAAGGACCGGATGGGGTTCGTCCCACGATTTCACGGGCTTGCGCACGATCACAAGTGTGTTATTCTGTCCCTTGGCGTCGTGACGCAGCTGCGTCGGCGGGCTCGGCGGTGGCGCCGACCGCTTCGCTGTGTTGTTGCCGTTCTTGATGCCAAAACTAAGATTCCTCTCAGAACCTAGCAGAAGCGACAACGTGTACATGAACGAGTGGATGCTGCCGCCGATGCCGCGGGACGGCGACTTGGGTTCGGCCACGTCGACATCGTGCGGCACATCTCTACGTGGCAGCGTGAGCGGTCAGCATTCGAGTCGCAAAACGTGACTCGTATTCGTTCGAGGCGACGACCGTGACGACCGTCGTGCCGTCCACAGACCCCTTGACGTCTGCCGTCGCTCTACTCATCGTAGCATAGTCGTAGACAATAGTGTTCATCTTTGAGAGGGACGTACTTGGTCTCCAAGCCGGTGCTCTTGAACCCGAGAATGCGATCGAAGCTAAGGATAATCATGGCAAATCGGACGACGCAGAAGGAGCCGGTGGGTACTCTGGGGAGGAGAGGTCGCGGGCGGCGACGCGGGGCGCAACTCGGGCCGACCGCTCGGACTCGCTGCTGTCGTCGCTCATGAGCTTGGAGAGCCGCGGGTGGTCGGTGCCCAGTTGGAGTCGCTGGATCATGGCGATATTGCCGTTTCACCCGGTCTCCGTAGCACCTAGCTGACTGTGTTTTATAGCCGACACTAATTGCTCAATATGACAATGACAAGTGGAGAGGTGTATTGCTAAAGTGGTATTATTAATATTAACGAAGTGTCCTAGACGCGTAGTAGGAATAAATGAGAATGCCTCAGTGCGGGCTCGGCGCTTGGAGAATCGCGCGGCCCATGAAGGCGATTGCGTCCGGGTTCATTGCGTTGCTCTGCAGCGTCAGCAGCACGTTGCCGCTCTTTTGCTCTTCGTGCACTTGGCATGAGTCGCCGCGGCGCGCTGGGCGCGTGCAGCGGGGCGTCGAGCACTTGCGCCCACCGCCATGTGCGATGCAAAAGCCGTTGCCGCGGTCCTTCTTTTCGCAGCCGGGACTTGTGCAGCGGCGAATGCCGCCGTGGAGGTAGCAGAGACCGAGGCGCTGCGTGCCTTTGGTGCATCCCGGCGCCTTGCACTTCTTGCCGCCACCGTGCGCGCGACAGAGACCACCGCCTGCAACATTATGCATACCACGTTCTACGAAGAAGCGTAGATTACCTTGGGAGCTCTTGCCGCAGTTGGGCACGGTGCAGCGGGCGCCGCCGCCGTGCGACTTGCATCGGTTGTTGGACTGCGCCCGGCGCGTGCAGCCAGGCGTAATGCACTGCTTGCACTTCTTGGGTGAGAGTGCATTGGCGTTGTTGGCTTGGACCGTGTTGAGATTCATGGTGGTGTTAACGTTCATGTTGGCGTTGAGGCTCATGTTGGTGTTGAGATTCATGTTGGTGTTGAGGTTCATGTTGGTGTTGAGGTTCATGTTGGTGTTGAGGTTCAGATTGAGGTTGGTGCTGCTACTCATGGGGTTGCTCTGCAGCATCGTGCGCGCCGTCATGGGCGGCATTGGCGGCATCTCGACCTTGATTTGCGGTGGCATGGGGTTGATCTTGACAATGCTCTTGCGTTTCGTGGGCTGCGCAACGAACGACAAGTGGTCGAGCGGAAGCGGTTCGAGCGTCATCATATCGAGTGAATTGCTAAACAACAACATTAAATAACCTTTCCGAGTGCCATCCCGGTTACCGCGGGCGCGGCTTGGGCTCGGGCGAGTAGCACGGCTCAGTGGCAAACACTTGGTCCATTATCGCGTCCGGTAAAAAGTTGAGATTGTCCGTCTGGATCTGAAGTCCGTTGTACGCCGCTGTGGGCGGCGCGCTGGTCGCATCGAGGAACTGGAGGTCCTTCTCGAGCTCGAGCATGTTGGTGGCGTCCATACCGAGGATCGTCTCGACGTTCCAGAGGTCGTCGTCGTCAAGCGAATGGCTGAGCATCGACGCCAGCATCGACTCGGTGAGCTGCAGGCCGCTGAGGTCCATGTTGATGTCGCCAGCAAAGAATCCGAAATGCCACTAGAGTCGTATGTACACTTCGCGCACCACGTGGCGGCGGGTACGACCACCTGGCTGCCAGAAGCCCGCCGCGGCAAGATGGCGCCTCGAAACCGCCACTGCTGGTCACCCGACGCAAACACGAAACTGTCGGCGCCGCCTTTCCCAGAGCCGCCAACGACCATGCAGACGCCGTCCCGGGCTGCGCTCACGCAGCTACAACGCGAGATTGACGTTGCACTGACGGCATCCGAGCAGGTCATCCATCCCGTGCATATACATATAAACAAGAACAACAACTTGTCTGTAGGAGTACTTTGACGATGTCGTGCGTCACAAGTCGGCAGCGTTCGCCAAGGAGATCACCGCCAAGCGGCTGGAAGCGCGACACCTCTCGCGCCCGTCGCGGTACGTTGTAAGACGCTGGTCCGAAGAGAGGTGATAGGATGGTACTAGCACCCGTGCAGTGTGCCCACCGATGAAACGATGGGACAATATCAAGCTGCGAGAAGCAACGCAAGCCGTGTCCGTCGCGACGCCAGCCCCGGAGAAGGTGCTGCGACGTCGTTTCAGCTGCAGCATGCCGAGCTTGCCGTTCACACGTACGCACCGCTTGACGATGGAGAATGGACGTTGCGTGTAGTCGCGAGCTGCGCCGAGCCAATGGCGTTTGAGACTGCCACATCAAGCATCCCACACGATACCGCGCTGAGCATCGACCACCTTCTCACGCGCGAAGTGCACGCGCGCACGCACCGCGCCAAGATGGAGCAGTACATCCGCAAGGTACACGCTGAATACCCTCTATCATTGCAGTCGTATCGCAGAAATGCGTTTCGTCGGCTAGCTCGAACACGAAAATGTGGCCTGGCGCGACAAGTTCAAAGCCGAAGTCGCCAAGACGATGGATGCCGCCGCGCTGCGCGAGACTCATGCGACGACCCAATCAACAATCCAAGAGCTGCGGGACGCCGTGTATGCTGCCGAAGCCCGCAGCTCCGAGCTCGAAGCCCAAGTGCAGGCGTTGACAGCGACCGCGACGGAGCTCTCGATCAACGCCCGTGACATGGCCGTGCAAGTGCTGGACGAGACGCGCCTCTCCAAGTACGCAAGGAGCATCTCGACACGCTGCGATGATGATGCATAGCAACGAATTCGAAGTACGACTGGTGCAAGAGCAAATCACGAGCTCCGAGCTGCGCGAGGTCGTGACGCAGTGCATGGAGAAGATTGCCGACCTCACGTCCAACAACCTTCTTCTAATCGAGAAGGAAGTCGAAGAAATCAAAGCCGCCGAGCCGCCGGAAGGCATGAGCTTCCGCGCCAAAGAGGCACCCCCCCGTACGCCCCCCGAAATCACCACATCTCATTTCCAATACCTAGCCTTTGTGCGCTTCAAGATCACAACGTCGATCGACTACCTCGATGTCGTGCCGTGGCAGCAGTACGCACGCCACTTTCAGACGCTTGTCGCCGGCTCGGACGGTGTCAACTGCGGCATTCCGGCGCTCGCGGTGCCGACAGTCTTTAGCGCACAGTTTTGGTCGCAGCAGAGTACGCCAGCAGTGCACGACCGGTGGTTGGACCAAGTGACAGCGTTCGGCGTCGCCGACAGCGGCCTGCAGCGCTTCGACATTGATCAAGTGCTCGGCCTTATCCACGACATTTGGGTTGACCGCGCTGTCTATACGCTGCAGACCAACACGTTGCGCGTCCCGCGTCAAAGCTTTCCGACGTTCGTTCAGCACTTTTTCCTCAGACGGTAGCGGCTAATTCATCTCTTCTGGACCTTGTAGCGACGATGGGGTAGGTACACGACGTACGCCGAGTCGAAAGCGCAGCTCTACTTGTTCATTCTCGGCATCACCGAGTATCGGGAGAGCCATGGGCGGATCCACGTCATGGGCTGCATCATGGGACTCTCCAACCTTCGCTGCTTTAGCCCCCGCATGGCTGATAGCCTCCTCGCGCTTCTCGTGGGACTCATCCCGCTGCCAACGCTCGCGGGGACGCTGACCTTGCACACGCACAAGCCGCTTCAGTTTGGCTTGAACGTGGTCATTATGGCGCTCAACAACGTGTTTCCGCTGCTAAAAGACCCGAACGACGTACCCAACTACGTCGACCGCGTCGTCATTGGCCCAGAGACACAAGCGAGCATGCGCGAGATGCTGCACGACCAAGACCCAGACATTGCAGACACTCCGTTGGGCACGGCGCGGTCGGTGAGCTCGTCCCGACTCACGAGTCGCCACTTGCCCCGCAGTAAACGGTATTGACCAATGCTCGTTATATCCGTGAGCTCAAGCCAAGTAGGTGGACCATGCTGACGCTTGAAGGCGTCTTGGGCATTGCCATGCACGTCTGGAACACGCAAGCCGCGAGAGACCTCGAGGCGATCACGGTCAAGCTCAAGCGCGACGCCCCGATCGACGGCATCGAGTACAGAGAGTTCAAGGCGCTGGTGCGTGGCTGAGAAGCCTCCATCAAGGGGACTACTACTGCGTAGGTGGCCAAGTACTTTACATACGAATTCGTCGAGCAAGACGTACTCGAAATGTACCAGAAGGTGCCGGGTATACGCCGCATCGAACGCGGCTCAAGTGCGCGCGTAGGCGTACGAGTTTGAGCTAAACGCAGAGGGTGTCAAGTACCTCCCAAACGTCAAGCTCGAGAGCTTGGTGCGCATGCTCTGTGCCAAGGGTGTACCGAAACCGGACGCCCGCACCAAGAAAGGACGCCATTAACATAGGTTAAATCATCGAACCCAGCAACAAAATTGAACTATTGCACGAGGTCCTACACTAGTGCCCGATCGTTACTATGTGCTTGATTGTCTTTTTGTTCTTGATGTGTTTTGCGGTCTTGTCGAGCACATGGGTGGGCGGCAAGGCTCGCAGGCGTGGCGCCATAAACATCGAGAAGTGCTGCTGCTGCCCGAGGACACTTCCCGGCCGACATAGCCGACACCACGCAATGGCTTCGGGCGCCGTAAAGCCATACCGCTACATCGCTCATTGAGCTCATTTCAGCCGCCATTTTCGTACGTAAATCAGGTAAGCGGCGATCGTCGTGCCCGTGCGGCCGAGACCGCCTTCGCAGTGCACGGCCAAAGCGCCCTTTTCACGGTCACAGATCTACCCTGGCATGTTCAAATGCTGCTCGATAGAGTTCAAATCGCACCGAAAAGAAAGTCGTCAGCGACTCCTCGGACGGCGTGCCACCATCGGCGTACGGCATCTCCACCTACGCCGCTAGTTGGCGCCCAAGCGGTGGCTACTAGCGTACGTGTCGCAAGCCGACGGCCACGATCTTGCGCGCGTCGTAGCCAGTAGCGTCGTTGAGGCGCACTACTCCAAACAGCGTGGCCCTTGGGTACTTCGTTATGACTACGATACCGACACACGACACCTAGCACCACACGATAAAAATGACGCGTTACGCCATGCGAGACGGACACCAAGAGCCTTGAGCTTCAGCGCAACGTCGTCGACGCGCTGCGGAAACCTTGTTCGATCGCTACCAGCGGGCTGCGACGTTGGTCCGCTGGGCGAGCACATATAAGCCCATATCATGAGTGGGCAGAGCGTCGTACGGGAGCGCGACCAGCTTCTGTGGTACGATCCAATGCATGTCGTTCTCGGCAGCCATCGCCTCGTAGCCGTCAACGTCGAACCTACACCGCATCATCGATTTGCCTCTCATCTTGCAACAGCGCACGTGTCGAGCGCGAAGAAGTTGAGCGCGACGGCCTACAAATGCCTTTAACGTTGTTGCATCTTGCGTAGCGCTAGCCTTGTGCATTGCCGCCGCGCAGTCGACGATCGAGAGCCCAAACGTGCAAATGCCGTACGCGGCATCCCGGAAAGGCGGCAGCTGCTTGGTTTCAAATGGCGCCATGGCTTCTGCTGGCGAGAGGCGGCGAAGGACGACGCGGTAGAGCACGAGGAGGGCAATCGCGTTCGCTTGGCGCTGCGGGTGGGCCCTACAGCGCGTGTCTCGTGTCTCGGTACGGGACCTTGGCATCGGCACACACGTCGAGTAGCAGATCACGCGCGTGTAGCTCTTTGCCGTGGTTTGCAACGAGCGGAGGAACCGCACCACCTAGCCATCGTGAGAGCGTAAGCAATGGAGTAAGGCATACTTGGCCGAGCGGCAGGGGGCCAAAGTCCGCAAAGAACCTCGCGTATACAAGGTCGTCCGTCTCGAGGAAGACGAGCGTCGTGTTTGGCTCTACGCATCGCGACCAGAAGCAATGCCCAAGTGACAGCATTCCGCACCAGGTACGAGTGGTCCATCGTCCGGCGACCACTCGACGTAGACGATGCCTACACCGCCACCATGATGTACGTGTCGCTGCTGGCGAGCTTACTGGTGTCGACGACCACGGACTGCATCCGCCAAAAATGACACAAAGCCAAAAAAAGATTTCCAAATGTGCTACACGCGCCAAGCCCGCGGCCAGGACGGCGCCGACCTCTCGTTCGACGTACTTCTGAACGACCAAGACTACGCACTCCTCGTGCAGCGCGTCGCCGACGACCCAAACAACGTCGGTCTCGCGATCGCTGGCTTTATCGCAATGCAACGCGCCGTGACCGAAGCCAAAGGTCCTTCATTGTGCTGCCTTTCGCGCCTGTTTCACGCTGTGTAGATGCGGAAGCGACGGCCAAGCGCCTCGGGTCAGCTGGTGCGTGTGCGTTGGCGCTGCAGATCTTGCGCGCGCTTGAGCCGCTCGAAGAGGTCCAGTTCTTTGGCTGCCAAGCGCTGCGGGCCCTGAGCGCGTCGCCCCGCAACATTTTTCGCCTCGAGGCGTTGCGTGTCGCCGACCATCTGCACGCTCTCCTCGTACGCCCAAATTGTAAATGCAGTAGCGAGTCGCGAGCTCGTAGGTGGCCTACCCCGCCAGTGCGCGGGTCGTCGGCGAGGTCCACTGGACGCTGGATGTGCTTTTGACGGCGAGCGAGCCGCTCGCATTGCGGTGGTATACGACCTTGGATGGCATCCCGCTGCAGCTTTCCGTGCTTACTCGGTACATGGACGAGCCACTCGCGCAGAGCCATGGCTGCCGTGTCTTTGGCGCGATCGCACGGCGTTTCAAGCACCGGCTAAGCACGGTGTCGCAGCTGTCTTCTCTACGCCGTGGCGCTCATATGCATACGCTAGGAGCATGTTGCCGACATGGGCAATCACGCAGTAAGTGCGGTCGTGACCCACGTTGCGTCACACGAGGTGGTCACCGCGGGCGTCGCTTTTATTGAGCTGGTGTGCGACAAAGGTGGGAGCACTTGTCGTCGACGTTGACGTCGTCGAACGTGGCGCAGATGCTAGACTCTTCTTTCAAGACGCAGCGTGGTTCCGCACGGTCTTTGCAACCCACTTGAAGCAGCCATGCGTGCTTGCCGAGGTGACGCACCTTTACCGCACGCTGTGCCACGCGTCGCCGGCCTTAGCTTGCGAGGTCTGCTGCGTTGCGGTTCGAGGAGGTTGACTGGACGATAGCTGGCCATCGCGGGCGGCTGGTCCTGTGTCCAAGACGCCCTGCGCTGGTACCACGATTCGGACGCACCGATGACGTTTGATCTTCTTCGACTCGTGCACCATCTCGTCGACCGACTTTCCCTCGACGACAAGGTACTTCATATCTACACGGTCGATGACTTGTTGATATGGCAGGTATCCGCTGTTTGTGACGACGGACTGGCTATGCTGCAGCTCGTTTTGGCCTGCCACAACGAGTACGAAGACCACGAAGGACTGCAAGTTGAAGTGTGCTGCATCTTGCGCCACTACGCGGCGTGTTCGGAGCGAGACACGTGGGCGACGCCGGCGCTCGCCATGTCGCTCCGCCACGTCATGCGACTGCACCCGACGTCGGCGACGTTGCAGCGCGACGCAAGCGACGCACTCGAACGGCTCGGCCTGTAATACTATGGTTTTGAGTCTCGTTTTGAGCTTTCTCGGGTCTGCCATTCCAATTGTTCGTGTACGACAAAGGGCAAACTCAACGTGCAATCTCAATTGAAAAGGGCAAGCTCATCAATATAGCAATAAATCGATGGGAGGGTGCAGCTTCAACGCAGAACGCTGCGGCTACTGCAACGAAGCGGGCGTAATCATCGTCTGTAGTACTCGGAGCGAACGGGCGCGCAGGGGCATATACAGGCGCCAAGTTGGTTGACCGCCATAGCCATGCACCAAATTTGCGTGTTGGCGAAACACAAGATCTTAGTGGGATACAAACACCAAGATACGCACTCAGAATGTGTTCTTCGATCGCCAGACACGCAGCGTCACAACGCGTTCATGGGTCGCATTCACAACATATCCTTAACTCTCCGTTGCATCCTCTACCGGAGTCGATTCATGGCCGCCCACTTGGCCTCGAGTCTCATGCAGTACGGCGCGACGTCCAAATTTGGGTTCCTCGTCAACTCGATATCCGGATCGTCGACTCAAAATCTTTCGTCGCTTCGCCAGATCTGGTCCAAGATGGTCGACGGACGCGTGCACATCGTTGTCGTCGGCGCCGGCCGCATGGGGCAGATCCGCCTCCAAGGCCTCATGGCCAACCCGCGCATGAAGGTCGCGTACGTCGTCGACGCCAACCTCGCGCAGGCCGAGACGCTCGCCGAGCGCTGCCACGCGACCGCCGTCGCCACGCTCCCCGAGGCGCTCGCCGACCCGGCGGTGCGCATGCCACACACACATGTCCGCGCTCATGCTGCCGCACGCGTAGGTGGCGGCGGTCTGGATCTCTACGCCCACGTTTACGCACTTGGACTTGATCGAGCTTGCGGCGAGCGCGGGCAAGGCCATTGCCGTCGAGAAGCCCGTCGCCGGGTCGCTGGAAGAGATCGACAAAGCGTACAAAGGTACGCACGTCCATATGCACGCTCGTCCCATCGGCGGCGGTGTGTAGTCTGCGAGACGCACGACGTGCCGCTTTTCTGCTCGTTCCAACGGCGCTTTGACCCGAACTACGTTGCCTTGTACGAAGCCGTCCAGGCCAACGCGATCGGACCCGTCCAGTCGATCCAGACGGTCTTCCGGGACCACCCGTGCCCGCCCATTGCCTTTTTAAAGGGCGGCGGCGACCCGTTCCACGACCTCGCGGTGCACGACATTGACTTTGTGTGCTCGCTCCAGCACGAGTACCCGACGCGCGTCGTCGCGCACGGCACGAGCTTGAGCCCCGAGCTCCAAGTCATCAACGTAAAGCATGCTCCTCAATGGTTTGGCGCGATCCAAGGACATTCTGTACCTGTATAGGTCATGGACAAGGCGTCGGTCTGGCTCGAATTTCCATCCGGTGCGATCTGCACCATGGACTTGAGCCGCCACGCGGCGTACGGCTACGACCAGCGCATCGAGGTCTTTGGCGCGGACGGCATGCTCGAAGTCCAAAACATCCACAAGACGTCGCTCCGCGCGTCGACGAGCGCCGGCGTCCACAGCGACGTGTACCAGCACTCTTTCCCGCAGCGGTTCCGTGATGCGTACCTCGCCGAAGTCGACCATTTTGCCGAAATCGTGCTCGACAAGGCCACGCCACGCGTCTCGTGGACAGAAGCGCGCAATGCAACCATCATTGCCGAAGCGTGCCGCATCTCGGCCGTCGAACACCGATCGGTATCGATTATTTTGTATTTTGCGGTTGAGATTGAGATTGAGATTGTTGTAGGTCGACGTGACGTATGGTCCGAGTGCGTAGCAAGAAGATCAGTACGTGGTTTTGTGCTGCTTCATCGCGAAATGCAGCTTCTTGGACCACGTCATGTTGGCCTTGTTCGAGTCGGCGCGCAGCAGATACACGCGCTGCTCGTGCTGGACGAACACCACCGTCGAGTGCTTGGCCGTGTGTTTGGTCAGGTTGGCCGCGTGGTGCGGCGTCACGGTGAGCAGCTGCACTTCGCTCGCATGCATCATCTTGAGCGTCTCGAACGCGAGCGTGAGCCCGTAGTGCCTATACGACTGGGTGGCCGCCTCTGCGCTCCCGTCGTTTCTACCGGTAGATGCGAAAGATGCCGTCGGCGAGCACACACCAGCGGCTGTTGCCCTTGGCCGAGTCGATCGAGTTGATCGACTGCATGTAGCCGCAGTTGGCGACCGGGTCCGCAAACTGCTTGATGTGCACCGACAGCGTGAGCTCGCGCGTAATCGAGCCAATGTCCTGGATGCGCATGAGCTTGTTGTGCCCAGCCTTGGGGATGACCTAGTCACGTCGATGCATCTACTACATCCATATCGACATTTCGTACTTCGAGTTCGGGCCGGATCAGAAGCTCGAGGTTGGCGCCATACCGCCAGATCTCCGTACCGCTCATGCGCACCATGCCTATCGCGGACTTCTATGCAAATCGAGACGTGGGAGATGCGTGCCTTGGCCCAGGAAAAAGTTGTTGGGGCCGTTCTTGCTCAGCACCGTAAAGCACATGGTGACGTTCCCGTCGACGCCGGGCACGAAAATGGCTTCGTTCCACGCCACTTCGTTCGAACCGCGCTGGATCGCGCTCTCAAAGCTAGGGTTAGGGTTAGGGTAGGGTTGCGGTGGTAGCGCGACCAAAACTGCTGGGCTTCGTCGTCGTGCTCAGCGACAATGTGGAACACCACGAACGGGTTGCAGAGAAAGCCGTTCGGAAGGCGCGTCTCCGTACACGCGTCGTCGTCCCCGGTCGTCGAGCGCGGCGACTTGGCCGATGCATCGCCCTCGGCCCTTTCCAATGCAAATATCAAGCAGTATTTCGAACTACAGTGTCTACATACCCGAGACCATGGAGGCTCATTAGGTTGACCACGTACGGGCGAATGCGCAGGCGCTGCATCGCGTTAAAGGCTCGGCGCGCGAGCTTGCCTGGGCATTTTGACATATCGGTATATCGATTTGCATCGCAAGTCGACCTCGAATGTGAGCTTGGATGCGCACTGCACACTCCTTCTTGCGCACGAAGAGTCGTGCTTCTTTCGACATGCGCGCGTAGCCTACTCCCGTCGTTGGTGGTGGACACAAGAGCGACGACATGATAGTCCGACCGGTGATGAGCCGCGCGCACGCCATTTCCTTTTGCAGCTTTCGGTTGTGCCGATAGCGCGTTGTTTGGGCCTCGTGCTCCTACGACCAGCGTTAACGCCGACGCGCCGTCGAGCTGGCCAGGTATTACGTCTTGCAAGTCTTCTTCGCAGTAGGTGCATATCCACTTGGTCTTGTCGTCGCCTTGGACCTCAAAGCTCACGGGGCCGCGCCTCGCGAGTCCCTTCCACGCCTCTGCGGTAGCATGAGTAGGACGTCGCAGGATCCATACACCGCACCGAGATAGCACGCGGTGTGCGCAACGACGTTGCACCTACCGAGTTTGGATCAGGTCTCTTTCTTGTCGTCCGGGACAAATTACATGACGCAAGCGAGTTCGCCGCCCGTTTGCGAGCAGTACTCGCACCTGCCCTTGGCGTCAGCCGCGAGAGAAGACGGAAAAGAAGGCGCACCGCGAGTTGTGCAAGGACGAGGCGAACGCGAGTCGAGAAATGCGCACCTGCGCCAGCGCGTCCGTGGTCGCCTCCAGATCGCCCTTGAGCGCTACGCGCTCGAGTGCCATCGATCGTCTAGCGATCGACCACGTACCCGAGAAGCGGCCACCGGTTCGCGTGTGCCGCGTGAGCGCGAGGACGGCGTCGCGCCGGAGGCTGTTGGCATCGGCGCGTAGCTTGGGCAGTGGGTCCACGAGGGTGTAGCGCTTCCGCGGCCGTCGAAAAGCGTCTGCAGTGCGTGAAACCACAGACTTGGTGACGAGACCAACGCACCGATCGACTCGAACTTGTCCAGCAGCGGCGCCAGACTCTACGCCACTGGGTTGAGCAAACCAAATCCACGAGGTACACGTCGTGCCTTCGTCACAAAGGTCGTGCGGATCATGCCGTTGTAGCACTGCGTGTAGTGCGACGCGCGGTGTCGCTCGAGGTTGGTGAGTGTCACGGCGCTCGCGTCGGTCTCGTCGACGTCGCGGCCCTACGCGCCGTGATGATGAGCGTAAGCTGCCAGCGCATACGTGCCGGTGGCAGGTGCGACGACCCTTCCGCGCTCTGGAGACTCGGGAGCGACGCGGTCGCTCGCTGCATGGACCGCCTTTCCCAAGGTCAATGCTATTTATACGGAAGCATCCTCGAACGACCAGCGACGCTTCGCTATATCGCAGCACATACGTTGAACTATTGCATGTGGCAAGACATAGAACACGACGACGAACAGTAAATATAAACGTATGCATTTTCCATTAATCGACGAGTCTGTTTAAAAGATGTTGCGGGGCGTCGTGATGGGCGAGAACTCGGGTGTCGTCTGCACTGCGACCGGCACCGCCTGCTTGCGCTTGTACACGAGGAGGGCGACGGCCACGACAGCACCGACACCGACACCGGCGCCAATGCCAATGCCAGTTCCGTTGCTCGTTGCCGGCGTGATTTGAACCGACGTGGCCGATTCCGAGAGGGTTTGCGCCGACGTGGTGGCGACGTCCGAGGGGCACGTCGCCTGCGACGACACGACGGCCTGCGAGCTCTGGAGAGAGAGGTCGAGCGGGAGCGCGTAGACGTTCGAGCTCGACGTGAGGTACATGTAGCCCTTGCTGAAAGCGAGGTTGCGCAGCTCGGACGTGCCCTGGAGGCGGCCGAGGTACGTGCCGTTGGACGACGCAATGTAAATGTTGCGGCACATGGCCATGTACACATAGCCCTGATCGTCGACCTTGAGGCCGGTCGGGTACGTGCGGGCGCACTCGGCGGCCTTGGCGTCGGCGACGTACGGCGTGAGGTCAAAGAAGCGGCGCGAGCACACGGGCGTGCCGTCGTTGCCGAGCGTGTACGACTTGACAAACGGGTCGTTGACGTCGGCGTTCGCCACATAGAGCGTGTCTTCGCGCGGCGAGAACGCAATGCTCTTCGGGCGCGAGAGACCGCAGTCGAGGAGCTTGACGGCGCCGTTTGCAGGGCGGAGGTAGACGCCGTTGAAGGGCAACTCACGCTTGGCATCCAGTACCGAGATGTTGGCCGAGAGGAGCTCGCTCTGGGTTGCGGCCAGACCAAACGGCGAATCCGTGAAGTACAGGTTGCCCGTCGACGTGAACGTCGTGTCGCTCGGGCCGTTGAAGCGCTTGCCGCGGTAGCGGACGATCCAGTCGACGACGCGGCTCTGGCAGGTGCCGCTGCTGTCCGTGGTCTTGACGAGGCGGCCAATCGTGCGGCCACCGGTGCGGGCGACGACCGTGTCCTTGGTCTTCGGGTTGATTGCGAGACCACCGCAGCCCGGCGTGTACGACTTGGCGCAGCCATTCGGGCTGTTCTGCGGGTTGCAGCCGACCTGAGTCGCCAGCGTCTCCGACTTGACAATGTACTTGCCGCACTGGCCTTGGGCCGACGACGCGAGGAGCGGGTTGTACACGGGGGTTGTCGTGCTCTGAGGCTGGTACGAGTGGTACGACTGGATCGAGTTGGACGTGCCGTGGCAGAAGAGCATCTGCATCGTGTAATCGCGGTCCTGGCTGTCGAGGCGGCGGTTCGACGTCTTCTGGCCCGACGAGTCTTCGTTGACAACCAAGCCATCGTTCACGTCAAGGTTGGCAACCGTGTGGTCGGGCGCCGGCGTCGCCTTGTTCTTGTTCTTGAGCAGTTCAAAGAGGTTGGTACTCTTGGTCGGCGCCGACGTCGCGTTGGTCGTCGGCTCGGGCGAGATCGTAAGTGGGTTGGCCGCCGTGTTGATGAGCACGCGGGGCAGGCCGCTGCTGCCGGCCGCAAAGAAGGCGCTGAGGCCAAACTGCGCGTCGGCCATCGAGGCCATCGAGGCGAGGACGGCGCCAATCGTGATCGCTTGCACCTTCATCCTGTAGCTGCTCGGGTGCGAAAATCCAAATGAGTTGACCCAGCGCCCGCTTGCCGGCAGAACTGGCCAGTTCCAGCGTGCGTATTTAATGCCCGCGATCAATTGTACATACAAATGTCAAGTGTGCTGCTGCGAAAGGCGAAAAATTACGCTTTGGGTGAGCAACCCGCTGGATCGTGCGACGAGGGGGGGGGCCTCGCTTTTCGGCTCGGCAAAGCACTGCATTTTTGTATTGCCTTTGTTTTGGGTAGGGCTACGGGGTCTGTAGAGTGGGACACGCCCATTCCACCTGGCCACAGCATACAAACCTCAAGCTTCTTTACAGCGGTACGCGGCCAAGAAATTTGGCGGCCAAGCCACTTGCTCGGGATTGCAAGGACCAACGTGTGCAAGCGATTCGTCTGCGCTCATTTGTGTAACTTTCATGGGCGAGTTGGGACTCTCTGGTTTGATACGAGCTTGGGTTGAGCTGCCAGAGGAGCAGTTGGCGCAGAGAGCGCCGCCAGAGAGATTGAGATTGGTGCGGGCCGTTGCGTGGCGTTGTTGTGACGATAGCCATATATTCTGCGATTTTGAAGGTTGTGAACCTTGGGCCTTGCCAACCTTTCTGCCAATCCTACCTGCAACGGTCCATATTTGCGCTTAAATTTCTGCGTCGACGCGAAACAAAGTTGCAAGGGCCAAAACGCTCCTTCGATATCGTTGTCCGAATCGTACTGTGTACGGCTTGAAGCTCGTTCATGGAAACGCCAGCGGTGATCTTGAAGGCCTCAAAGATGAGCGCCGTATACCGTGTATGAAAAGTCGGTGGTCCAGTCACGTCGTGGCCAAAGAGAGGCCAAGAAGATCCACTGGCATATCAGTCCAGCTACCATGAATAGTAACGTTCATATGAAATGACTCGCGTTGGCGCTGGTGGTGGCCTCGCCACCCACGTGCCTCTATGTGCGCGTACACATGCAGTCTCGCAAGGAATAGAACCGCGCTCGGGTCTGATCGCGGGCTTCGATTGGCGTCGCGCCAAAGTCAGCAGCCTTCCGAGAACCGCGGCCAGCGTTCGGTCCCGCGTGCATGCATACAAATAGCAAGCTTCGCGGCTGGGACACATGTGATATGTCCGGATACGGCGACACGGATCGTCATGTACGGTACGACATGTACGCCGTACCGTACGTTCAGATGATTGCTCGAACGCAGCCTCGCTGGCCATGCCGTCGAGCCAAGCTTAGCTACACTTGGGATGACATGGGTATTGGGACGCGCCAACGAGGTGATATGATCGTCGGTACTCGTGGTGTCAGCGCTGTGCCGACAAGTACGGTACATGCCGGTATAGAGCCGACAGCGCTCGGTGCACCGAGTTGGAGCACGTCATCGGTCGTTGTAGCGCTAGAGCCCGACACCATAGGCATCCAGAAGCAGCGCTGTCGACATCCGTCGCGCCACGCTTCGTTGGTCCTTGGAATCCGGTGCTGCGCCCGCCTAAGTCTGAGGATGTGATTGTGCAGATCGCTCTCATCATCTGCCTCCATGCTGGCGCCTCGAGTCTACAAGATCAGGATCCGCTCACGTCACCAGCGAGGTCCACGTGCCTACAGTGAGAGGCGTAGGACGTCGACGCCCGCTTCAATCGACAAAGACGATCTGTGGATGCGCCGCTCCCAATACACAAGACAACGGCGTCGGTCGATGCGTGTCAAAATGCAGCAATAATCTGGTCCGTCGTACAGCTGTACGGGAGATGTACGCTCCAGCTGGCTCCGAAGCACGCGGCTGATGGTTGTCTCCAGCGCCAGCGCGAGCTTTGCCTCTTGACACTACCTATTCCGTCCCAGCATCCGCCATGCGCGTACTGGGCTTGCCGAAGAAGCTCTTTGGCGACAGCTCGTCGTCGGCCGCGCCCGGCCCTCGCGCCTCGTCGCCAGCGTCGCCGCTGCGCCTCGTCATGCCCGCCATCTCGCCTGTCGCGGCCGCGACGTTTCCGTCGGCCGACCAACGCGCGCAGCTGCAGACCATGGGCAAGCAGTCGTGCACGTCGCTGAAGCGCCTCGCCTTCTCCATGGCCACGGTGCGCGAGTCGTGGGAGCGCCTCGAGACCGACAACAACATGGAGATGTTCTACCTCAAAGACACCGACGACCACGATGGCACCATGCACGTGTGTGGCCTTGCCCACGTCCATGCCACCATGACCGACTTTGCCGCCGCGATGCAGCTGCCACCGTCCAAAGCCTATGGTGCGTCAACATGCAGCGGGCCACCGTCGCTCGCCGACGACATCTTGGCTTGCGAGTCGCTCGTGTCTGTGGACGACAAGACATCCATCCAATGGCTCGCCATGAAGAGCGCGGACGGTATGCTCCACCGCGACTTTGTCGTGCTCCAGGTAGACAAAATTGTACATAATTGGTCGTACTCAATGCGACGGCTAGCGCTCGGATACCTTTACGGACGGCGACGGCGTCCGCGGCCACATCATCTCAATGCACTCGATGGACTTTCCGGGCGCACCACCGCAGTTTGACCAAGTCGGCGTCATGAAGCCCCCGAAAGCGTACCGCTTTGTGCGTGGCGGCATGTACCGGTCGGGCTTTGTGATCCTCGAAGACGCCAGTCGCCCGGGTGTCCTCGACGTCTTGGCCCTTTTCAAAGTGGACTTCAAGGGCGACAAGCAGCTCAAGCACGTGCGGTCGACCCTCGTCCAGTGGTTTCACTTTCTTGGCGACCTCAACCAGTACTACTTGAGCGCCAAGCTGCACGCCAAAGGCGCGCCGCGCATTCGCCACGCGCCTGCGTCCAGCGCCAAGTCGAAAGCGCGTCGCTGCGAGTCGTGCGCCCAGCCGTTCAAGTTCCAGCTCCAGTTCCGAGCACCCGTGCGCGACCAGTGCCTCATGTGCGGTGCGATCATCTGCGGCGCGTGCAAGATCGACTACAAAGCCAAAGACGCAGCTGCCGTCGTCCAAGTGTTCTGCATCCCGTGCCTCGACAAGTGGAACCCGGACCCGACGACAAGTATCAAGTTGATTCAACCGACAAACCTCCCGGGCCAGACGCCCAGTCCCGTGCTCGCGCCTGTGACGCCCGAGCCCGAACCCGAGCTCGCGTCGCCGGCCGACAAGACCAAAGCCCCGCACAACCTCCTCGGCCTTGGCAGCGAACCTGTGCTCCGGTATGTGTCTCGGGATTTCCGGCGCCGTGCATGACACGGCATATATTGTAGCTCAGAAATGGAGAACCCACCGCCCGTGCCCCGTCGGCGCAGTGTCGGCCAAGACAACAAGGACACCAAGGACGATTGGTACACTGTGATGGAGTGAAATTAGGTGTGTTCTTAGCGCTGACACCCTAGGCCTGCCGTGCGGTACGAGCGCAGCTGCTCCGTGCCCGACCCAGTGCACAAGAGCATCGCGGCGATGGAGACGGTGCACCTCGACTCGCTCGACTACCGCGTCTCGCTCTACGGCCGGTTCTCGATCTCAACGGCGTCCAAGGCCGACCTGGAAGCGCGGCTCGAGTGGATCACGGCGAGTTCCCAAGCGATGGACGCGACAGTGACGCAGCTGACGCGGGATGGGAAGCTCCGGCGTGCAATGCAAGTCATGCAGGAGAAGAAGACCCTCCGCGACGAAGCCATCCAAGTGCAAGCAGCGCTTGACGCGATGCACGAGACGTCGGGCGACTCGCTCGAAGCTCAAATCAGCCGCCTCCAAGCCGCTCTGGTCCGTGCACTCCTCTAATGACAACGTATACAAATATCTCGTTTCTTAGAGCGAAGTGGTGCTCGATGGCGCGTCGTCCGACCTCCGCGCCAAGCGCGAACGCCTCCTGCGCCGCGCCAACCTCAAGGCGGAGCTCAAAGCCGCCCAAGACGCCCTTCAGAAAAGGACGGCTGCCAACCGCCGCGAACAGAACGGGTCGCTGCTGTTCAATCCCGACATTTTCGTCCTCGACGGTCAAATGGATGTGCTGCGCGGCGAACTGGTATGCTGCGTCTTCGTCTTACTATTGAGGATCGACAACTGACGATGTATGTAGCATCATTGCGTCATGCAAATCTCGGCGGCGCAAAAGCGGGGCGATGCCGAGGCCGTGACAACGCTCACGACGCAGCGACTTGAGATCAAAGAACACATGGCGACGATCCAAGACCAGCTTGTGCAGCTCGGCGCGCCGTCTGTGGGCAACCGTAGCTCGATTGCTGGTCGGCGGTCGACGATCGTCCTTGGCGATGAAGAATCCAAGCCGTGCCACGACCACGAGCCGACGCCGTCCGTCGAAGCTCCCCGGCGACCCGATATCGTCGTCCTCGATGATGCAATGCTGCTTGAAGATGACCAAGCCCAAGACGAGAATGATGAGGCTCACGACGAGGACGACGCCCAAGACGACACCCCAGACAACGTCCAAGTCGAAGACAAGGTCGAAGTCGCAGTCACAGGGGCTCCAGACGACGTGTCTGAGGCGTGTGCCATGGAACACGACGTCGAATTGATCATGGTGGCAGATCCAATCGAGACCGCAGCACCGGCGTCGCCGCACGGAGTGCACCAACCGTGTGTGGAGCTCTACGATGACGATGATGACGATG